TCACAATACCCAGATATGACCACTTATCTTCCATCGCTTGACCATTGGACGCTGCCTTCCGGCCGTCGGCAACCCAAGATAGTTTTTGAATCTACTTCGGGTTCTGTTAGAAGATATTGGAGCGATCAACGCGACCCGGTTGAAATTGGTATCCCTTACCGTACACCACCCGCCCGACGCCTACCACCTTCACGATGGAAGCTCTTTTGGTCACTGGAAATGAACATGAAGGCTTTCACTCTCTGGTGGCGACTTCTGTATGATAGCATTGCCAATGGAGGCAAGATCCATTCTTGGAAAACAACTACATTTACTTCGCCTGCTTGTAGTATTTGTGGTATGATAGAGGAAAATAGCTATCATTTTTTTTTTGTTGATTGCCCGGTTAAATGGTCATACTGGCAACAAGTATTGACTTATGTCCAACTGGATCGTCAATTTGAAAATCCTAGTGATCTATGGCTAGCACTTACTTCGCTGGCAGACGAAACCAACAAACTGCTGCCCTCAAAGACCTTAGAGATATTAGGAAATGGTTTGACTGTGCTCTGGAGGTACCACTACAAATGCATCTTTGACAAGGAGTTATGGCACCCATCAGCGCCATTCAATCTGTTTTTGACCGAACATCAGTTCTTCAATATGTAAATCAATTTTGATAAATAAAGTAATCACTTAATAAAAAAAAAAAAAAAAAAAAAAAAACCCATCGAAGTTGCGGATAAAACTGTGATTGAAAGATATATTTATACATGGCATTAATACTTAGTCTTTTAGGACATAACTAGTGTAAGAAGGGATGAATAATGCTGTGTATACAACATAAATGATGATCATGGCAAAAGACCAGATCACATCTATGGCAATTGCAATGGATCTATAGTCACTGACATTCACTCATTCTACTAGAAGTACTACATCATCCTCATAGTCAGAGATTATTAACTTAGTGACTCTGTTATTATTAATGGCACTCATAAAGTGACAGTTAGAGCTGACAAATACATTGGTACTGGCATTTGACAAATATGTAATAGTTTATTCAAGTTCAGGTCAGATCATGCACTATTGGCTGAGCTGACAACTTCCTCTAAAGGCATTTCTCTTAATTGCTCCTGATCTAGCAAACCAATCCGTAGTCAAGAAGCTGACCCCAAAACAATATTTTGACCGAGAAGAAAAAGTATAAATACCTCGACATCTTATCATATTTCTTCTGAGAACAGAAACTCTATACAAGCTCCAACAGGTCTTCTCTGTGTCCTACCGTTTTTTTTTACGAATCTATTCCCTCTTCATCTCACAACAAATGTCAAGAAAATATCTTCAGGATTTTTATTCAATCCCAATTCCGTTAATATTTATGCCGACATGGCAAATATGCCAATTGCGTACTCAAAAAAATATTTTTTGAAAAATAATAAAAAGCACTATTTTCAAATAAATCAAAAAAAAAAAAGAAGGATATCCTTAATTTTCTTGTTATAGATTTAAAAAAAAAATCAAATTTTCAATTTTTTTGTTTTAAAATAAAAAACGAGTCTACCGGATGATAATCTTACTGTTTTAGTTTAAAGAAGAGATAACTGGTTGGTAGACTCGTTTTTTATGTTAAAACAAAAAAATCAATTTTTCAATTTTTTTTTATTAATTTGAAACAGAAAATTAAAATTTTCTACTTTTTTAATTTTTATTATTGTAGAAACCATTTTTATTTTATTTTAAAGTAGTGGTTTTTATTGTTTTTCAAAAAATCATTTTTTGAGTACACAAATGGCATACTTGTGGTTTCGGCATACCTTTTAGTATTTCTATTATTTCTTGAGAATACTTTTTTGTAAGTCTATCACACTGTTCCTAGAGGCCTGAGGTACACAGGTCCTTCAGTGATTTTTCCAATCGCTTACGCTGTATTAATAACTCTACAAAAAAAGTATTCTCAAGAAATAATAGAAATACTAAAAGGTATGCCGAAACCACAAGTATGCCATTTGTGTACTCAAAAAATGATTTTTTGAAAAACAATAAAAACCACTACTTTAAAATAAAATAAAAATGGTTTCTACAATAATAAAAATTAAAAAAGTAGAAAATTTTAATTTTCTGTTTCAAATTAAAAAAAAGGTTTGATTTTCAATTTTTTCTGTTTTGAATTAATAAGCGAATCTGACAACTAGTGATCTCTTCAAACTAAAAAAAATAAACCCACTATTCCGTAGACTCGTTTATTAATTTAAAACAGGAAAATCAGAAATTTCATACTTTTTTTATTTCTTTATTTTTTATCACTACAGAAAATATCTTCAATGTATTTTGAAAAGTGGTTTTTATTATTTTTTTAGAGAATATTTCTTTGAGTACACAAATGGCATATTTGCCATGTCGGCATAACCGTTAATATTTTTATTATTTTTGATTTATTTTTCCAAGAGAGACCCACTACACTTATCAAAGACTTCTGATGTTTATGAGTTTTGCTATGTTTTTTTTGGAAAAGTTTTGCAATTTCTTCTCGACACCTAAGCGAAATCAATATACTGAGCATAATTCTACACTAGACTATAGATGGAACTCTACTAAATGTATCTGAGAAAGACACCACTGAGTATATTCTCTTTGATAGAGTTGTCCCACGATAGAATATTTTCTCCTATCTCTGAATCTCTCTCAGAATCAGAGACATCTCTAGTCCTAAAGGTCTGGTGCAAGTAGGTTGTAATGAAGTTTGCTCAACTATGATTATGATGTTCTCTATCGGCGGCAACAGCATTTTTTTCTCTGACTTCCTAGAACTAACCTCGGGTGCATCCGTCTAATTTGATGACAACTCGCTTGGTTACCTGAAGGTAGTCTTAAGTCATGCTTCTGTGGCGCAAGCTTCTATCATTCGCATGCTATCCGGCATCTCAATACATATATTACGTTCAACTCACTCACAGCATGCATCGAATAAACCTCTATACATTCCCTCCTATACAAATCGTCTTTATGAAACATACTAATACGAACACTCTACTCCTTTTAGCAACCGACCAACTGTCTCTCTTCTTTCTTTGACTACAGGCATATGTCCACAAACATCGTTAGATCAACATTTTCTCCTCTGTATTTTTTATCCTTGTTTCCTTAAAGAGGTTTTTAGTCTACTCTAATCTAGTTGCTCTGATGAATTGACCAGATTCAAATAATTTAGACTAAATTAAGCCGTGTGCTCAATATTGAATCAATAAATCTAACAAAATTTATGCGGATACATAAGTGTGCCATTTGTGTTGACAAAGAATACTTTTGAAAAATAGCTACTTTCAAGAGAGTTTCTTCCACTGATGGAAGAAAAATATAATCGCTTACGCTGTATTGTTTACTCTTTTTTTTTTTAGGAAAAAATTAGATATAAAATTAAAAATTTTGAAAACAATTAACAGTTTTAACTACATTTTATTTTTTTTACTTCAAAATTATAAAATATAGTACAAAAAAAACTTAGTTGTTCTCTGCTCATTCATGCTTATTCATGTTCATCCAAGGTCGTCCATATTCAGCCATGATTACGTATACTCACTCATGATTGTACGTGTTCATCCATGCTATTGCTTACTAATTTATCAATGTCAAACTAAGAGCGAGAAAACTAAGATCAGTCAAAGAGTAAGATTTATTGAGTCAACAATAGATTCATATTTATAGATGATTATTTGTGTCAGGGCTCAGCATGATCTTCAAGAATTTTTATTCCATAGATAGTAGAATTGGTCCAGATGATTTACTGGCTACTGCTTTACAAGTATCTGCATTAGATGAGCCGATCAATCTCCAATTAGCTCAGTATGATTGAAAAGTTGATACCTAAGATTTTCCAATTAATTTAAGGCATTCTATCACTAAGACAATAACTGCATAATTAGACGTAAATCATAATAAAGTGTCAAAATAGATATTCTGTGAAATTCATGCAATATATAACTTACATTTTTCTGATGCTCAATAGTATTCATCCATTTTTCATTTAAATCTTATTTTTCTATTTTGGTTTATTTTTGAATGAGAAAAAATGTACTGCTAAGCTTGTTTTTTTTTTTTTTTTTTTTTTTTTTTTTTTTTTTTTTTTTTTTTTTTTTTTTTTTGCTTTGATGCAATAACAAAAGTTGTAGATTTTGACTTTTAAATTCCATCGATTAATAACAAAATTCTGAGAAAACAAGCAAAAATGTTTATAAGTTCTTTTTACTCATATCTCATCATTTCTATAATACAACTGACAAATAAACACATTTGGAAAAAATTAGAGCGCCCGGCATTTATTTTAAGTACTTAAGCTTGCCGATAGCTCTATTTTTTGCCTTGTAGCATTAAAAAGAAGCTCAAAGAGATATCAAGCTCAATATTTTTGCGAGTAATCCCTTTTGGATCATAGATCCAAGTGACCAAATTTTACGAGTCGCATTTTTTTTATCCAAATCATCTCCAAAGTTACCATGGATGCTAGCAAACACTGTTTGTAGATAATTGGTGCATTTATGCATGTATAAATAGGCTTTACAATACCTTTACATGTCTAAGAAAAAGATAAAGATCTGTATGGATTATCGTCTTTTTCACTGCTGACGTATCTATTTGCCTAGTATCTTTACTACATGAGCAAGTAAGGGACTATTGAATTATTTATCTAAATAGAATAGTGTGATAAACTTTACTTGGTTTGCTTAAATCAAAGGGAATGTTTATTTATGAAAAATGTCAAAGTGTTAGAAAGCTCTGGTACAATTACCATGTATCAATATACTCCACAACTCCAATTTAATTCTTGTTATACAACTCTTCAATAGAATTGATACATACGATCTTTAAACCAATAAAAAAAGATCATTGCCTCTTTCTAGGAAGATGCTTGCTTATAATACAGGTATGATCAATAAACTTGGTGCCACTGCTTTTGGCTGCTGATATAATAAAATTCAATTAAGCAAGAAGAAAGAAAAAGATAAAATAAACTGGCACTCTAGCCAAATACTGCAAGTATTTGTTTCCAGGAACTAGGACGAGGACCTAAACCAGGTTTACTTTTTTTATTGGATAAGAATTTTTAAATCTATTTGAAGCTTCTCTTTACAAATTGATTTATAACGATTGAAGTGTACTAAAGTGTTTTCTTTTTCGTCCACTTGAATGGCAAAGGAAGTCAAAGCAATCATTCCCTTGTGATTAGGCCTATCATGAAAATAAATGACAGTGTGTAACGTTGGTATTTCTTGTTCATGGCTAGGTAATCGCCCTGGATAGTCCAGAATGGTTGCCATATCTTTATCGCTTACTTCGCAGTCTTTGTCTTGGCTTGATACATTCATGATAAACGATAATTCTTTTAGTCGAGTGACAGCAGTATGATAGACAAAGATGTTCCCGTGCAAATTCGATTCAGGTGTCATAACATGCTGGATGATATGATAGTGTAGCGTTTTTGTTTTCGCTGCAAACAAGACTGGCTCAACGACTGTCTGAAGGTAGAGTAAATTAACTTTTTCGTCACAAAATTCGATAAGTAAAGCAGGCTTGAGTCCTAGTAAAGTAAACCCAAATTCGCCATACAATAACATGTCTTCTGGCTTTAATTCACCCCTGAAAGTGACCTCATCAAGCGTATTTCGATCCAGCTTTCTCCAAAATTGCTGTTCCAATAATGCAAAGTATTCAAACGTTTCCTTGACTTCCATAACAGACAAAAGAAATACATTATTTCTCTTGTGAGCGTGGCTTCAATCGTGACCATCTTTTCTGCTCGAGGTGCTTTCAGTCTAAACTTTTTCTTTTATCTTTTTTTTTTCTTTGCATAAATCAACTAGTATGGCAAGACAACCTATTGGTATGTTTCTTGAAAAAGACTAAAAAAAATTCAATTGATCAAATAGAAAAGAAAGATGCTTCTAAAAAGAAGTCAACTGTCAAAGATGCAGGTGTCAAAAAGACAACTAAGGAAACCAAACCCAAAAAAGCTATTACAGACGATATTGATGATATTTTCAGTGGCAAGGCAACCAAATCCTTAGAAAAGAAAGAACAAAAGAAGCTACCCAAAAAATCAAAAAAGGATACCAAAAAAGAAGAAAGCGAAGAAGAAGAAGAAGAAGAAGAGTTATCCAAGGAGCAAGCTGAAAAAGTGCAGGAGGTTGTCTTTGCTGAATTGGCTGCCGTCAAGAATAGTAAGCCAAGCACAAAGAAACGTCCTGTACCACTACCATCCGCTGATGAAGATTTTGGTGATTCTCGGGGTTTGAAGAAGACAAGTAAAGTAGTCTGAATCAATGCAACATACTTATGATTTTATTAGACCGTACTACTGAAGATGGATATCCTCTTTATGATGTTAAGGATTTAAATATTGGTAATGGCTTAGATACACCTGATTGTCCTTTTGACTGTAATTGTTGTAAGTAATATTTACAAAATAAGGCATGTCTTTATTGATTTTGTAATAGGTTTTTAGATACATTAAAATGCTTCCCAGATTGTTGCACTGTAAGCACTTTCCATTCGTCTTCTTACAAAAGCTGGTATAGTTTGAGTTAACCACATCTGTCTGATTTGTTCGTATCGCTTGGCATTGAGATACTGTGGTGCTCCACGTTTGAAAAAGATATCTGCTTCACCATGAATATCGAGATAAGGAGCATTCATGATACTGCCTCCATTATCGTGCAACAAAAGAAGGAAACAATCCTTAATCATTAAATAGATACCAATCTCTCCACCACAGCTACAAAGAATTAGTATGTCTAGCTTTGTTTGAGAATCACTTACTGCTTCATGTGGACATTACATTCACCTTTACCATCTTCAGTACAACAGAATCGACGAGCACAGACAAAAGTACCACAAATCAAACAAATAGCTGAATGTTCAGGCACCGTCTTACATTTTCTACACATACGTTTAGAACTTTCATCCAATAATTGATCTAGGCGATAAGGAAGTGTGGTCATTCTATATTGTGTTGGTAAATTGAGTGAAATAGGAGCCAAGGAAGACTCTAGGCTGTTGGCTGAGCTAGCCAAAAGTTGAACGCGAGGAACAGAATACTCCATATAATCTTGACACCAGCTATTGACTAGATCTTGTTCGAATGCTTGCATATCAAACATAGTCTCTAGAGAAGGTAAACGCAATACATCAATAATATGGTCGTATTCGTTCTTTTCTTCCACGGTCTCTTCTGATGGATTTTGTGGAATGAAGCCATGGTAAACTACCATAAACAGCAAGGATTTACGCAAGAAGGGCAGTGTAAAAGTACGAATAAGAGCCAAGAATGCTCCAGGACTGATTTGTTGGAAGAACTGATCAATCAATGTTTGATGTACCTTTAAGAGGCTAAGCACATAGTGGGTAAATTGTTGTAGTCCTTCCACACCCACGGCTTGCTGCTGGCTGGTGTTTAAAGTATCTACAAGTTGACTGATCTTTTGATCTTTTAAGATCTTTTCACCTCCTAAAATGCTTTGAACAATCACAATAATGGTCTTGGTCAAATCAGCAATATACATAGAACGCAATAAATGGTGTGCTTCAATCGAAGGCTGTTCAGCTACAGAAAAGCAAAGACGCACCAATGCCTTGAATGGATCATCAACTAATAGAGGCTGCAATGTGTCTGTTTCAACCATATCATCAATCAAGTAACGCGTTGTATTGGGCATAAACTGATTGATAGCTTGTAAGCTCAGTCTTTCTTTTGTAAAGCGATCTTCAGCTTGCCAAGGTGTGTTCATCAAGTTTTGAATCAGTGTGTTGGACATACCAAGAATCTTCATTAGTGTCTGAGACGTGCTAGAGATATCATCAATGAATGTTCCGGTATGCTCTACGGTAAGATCACGCGCTCTTGTGCCTTCTGTTCCTCTTTGAGCGATTTCGAAATCGGCAATTGTATAGGCATACATATCATGCAAGCTACGAATTGAGTTTGGCAAATTGAGAGGGCGATCCAAAGGCTTGCGATGAAGTGTGACATGCATCACTTTCATCAATTGGTTATAAAGATACTTTAGTTTTTCCTTATCACTGATGACTAAGTCCGGGTCGTTATTCACAAAAGGAGGTTCTTCATCAAATGACCCCGGAAGCAGCTCAAAGCTCTTCTTGAGTTCGGCAGCAACATCTTGTACTGTCTTTGTCAGATCAGCATAGGCCGTGGTAGGAGCCATAACACCAGGATAAGATTCCTTTTTGCCTTTCCAGACAATAGGTACCAAGACATTACCTAACGCCTTACATAAAGGACAAAGGAAGCGAGTTTTAGGCGAGATTGGCAATGGGAACATGCGACCCAACTCTCTCAATAACTGGTTTTCCACTGATTTCTGATATGTTTCAAAACATTCAGAGTGCATTAAATGGCCACAAGAAGAAATGTCCAAGCCAGAAGTATGTGCGTCTGTAGGGAAGCTGATGAAGGGTGGCGATTTATCATCCATGGCTTCTTTTGCTGCCCAAGCATGAGGACTATTACTGCTCTCCAGAATATCTGCCAAAACTTCTTTGTTGTTCATAGGTGCAAGTCTATGGATATTGGATTGCTGAACCAATCCTAGCATACCATATAACTTGCTATCATCCAGTTCTTCTTGGCATACAATACAGTTGTCTTTAGGGAAGTGACATTTACGGAAGATTTGGAAATCATCTTCAGACATGTCATTATCAACCATGGTTGTTTCTTCATAGGATTCTTGAACATCCTCATCTTCATCAGAAGAATAGATCCCACTGTGTTGTTCCATGAACTTGGACTGAGCATTTGCAAATTGTGACATAATAGCAGCTTGACGAGCTTTAGCAGCTGCTTTCTTACGCTCAAATTCAGACATGCTGTTGCCACCATTACGTTCCAATTCAGCCTTGACTTCCTTCGATTTTCTATCTTTGTAATCGCCAATGATTTGTTTGGCTGTGTCTGAGCCTTGAGCTTCAATTTTGTCCAAAATAAAACCTAAGCGCTTATGAGCATGCGATAGATCTGCATCGTCCAAACATCGAATCAAGATAGTGATCAACGAAGCGTGCGTTCTTTCGACTTCGTTGATTTGAATGGAATATTCATCTGTTTCAGCAAAATCAATAAAGCTCTTGGATTCTTCAATGACCATATCTGCTCTATGCTTGCCCTTGACTTTCATAGCAGCTAATTCACTAGCTGGACTGTTGGGATCTGTGACGGCAAGCATCGCCAGATAAAGTGCCTCGTCTAGAATCGTATCACTCTTTGATACCTTGTGGAATTTAGCTTCCCAAAGAGCATAGGCCACAATCTGACACAAAGTATGCGAATGTAGGAACTTGCCCAAGTGTCTAAAGGGACCCACTTCAATGTATTTTGTCTTGGGAATCATCAAGAATTCTTCTTTATCACTTAGTATATGATTAGGATGTAATTGATTCCACCTCTTTTTCAAGACATGGTGAGCTTCTTCACGCTGGTTACGAGTATAATGCCAGTAGTAAGGTTCAATCTCGTCCAAATATTCAGGTTTGAGCTCATAGAGACCCTTATCGCTAAGACCATCGGGTGCCTTAAAGTTAGAGATCATGTTAAGTTGATTTTCAAATGATTCATGCTCTGTTAAACTTTCAGGCACAAGCTTCAACAATTCAGAATAGGCCATGCTATTGATACCAAGGAATTGAATGATTGATTGACGAATACGCTGTTCCACAGTGATTCCAGAAGCATAACCGTGTTCAGAAGCACAAATGATTAACAAATGTAAAAAGTCTTCTACCATGTACACAATCTGACTTGCATCATAAGTAGTGTGCTTACGCGGCTTTCCTCTAAACCAGTCAATCAATTGGAATCTGTCCATTAATGTCAACAGGATCTTGTCATTCTCACACACCGTAAGACCCACTTGAAGCAAATAGATGTCGCAATCAAGTGTGTTTTCTCTGACATCGACATCTCTATAAGAATGAGCCTAACATAAACGATGAGCAACAAAGGCATTGTTATAATGATATGCATCTTACCTGGTTGCGAATGTTGTAGCCGTTTCTGACCCAAACATTGCAGTTGATTTGAGATAGAATAGCTAGTGTTCTTATGGGATATTCAAGCACCATCAAGAACATATCGTGCTCCTTATTCTCAAAAGCATCATTGACCATCTGTGTAAATCCACCAAGCCAACCAAGTTCATTTAAGACGCCTTCATGTAAAAGGGAGACATTTTCAAATAATTCAGACAATAACCAGTGGAAAGGATGATGGAAAGAGACTGGATTCTTTGTCACGTCATAATCTACAATATCAAAAGTACCAGCATTAGGTGTACTGATCTGATGGAATGTTTGTTCACTTAAGCCCTTAATTGTTAAGCGTGTGTCTGGTAAATGTTCGTCTGCTGGTTTACGAGGTGCAAGCACAGGTGTCCAGTCACCGATAGCCTTCAAGACACGGTAAATGGATCTGCACAAGTTACGAGAAGCATCTGAAGGCGATAATCCAGTAGACTCAAAGCAACCAGCAAAAAGACGACATAATTTAGATGTCTGTAATGTCATATTAAATGCTGTAACCCATGATTGAGACTCGAATTCAACATGGGCATCTTCTTGACGTTTTAAGGCGTCCATCTCTTGAAATTGATACAACATGTCAATAAAATGGCGAAGATACAAGGGGTTCTTTGAGATTTCAACCTTGACTTGTTCAGCATTCATTACATAACGTAAATCAAAAATGGTGTAAGCATATCGATGACGGCCAATGGCTCTTGAAGAACAATCCACTTGAGCGCGAGTGTATCCTTCAGGCAAAACCATATGAATATGATCTGTCAAGAAAAAGTTTTCTAGAATAGAGCAGACAATACCAAAGAACCTATATTGTTTCACAAGCATCGATGCTACAGTAGGAACAGTCAAGAGTTGAACTGACAGTGTGCTTACAGAGTTTTCAGGTTCTCTATCTTTGAAGAAGAAGGCGTCTACTAATTCTGGATAGTTGCGTGCAAATCGTGTACCAATAATGGGTCTATAATCAAAGTTGGAAATAAAGGTGCCAATCAACAAATCCTTGATACTGACGCGAGATGTCTTCCAGAGACGTAAATCAAACTGTAAAAGATAGTCGAGACGAAGTTTGCGTCTGAATTCTTTCTTGAGGTTGACATTGATCTGGCGCGTTTGAGCAAGGTCTTGGTGAGCAGAGCCAGAGAGAATGCCTAATGTTTGTGTGATCAATCGCTCTTCTGATTCTAGCTTTTCAATGTATTCAAGCCATGTATCTAAACTCCAATCCAAGTCTAGAATATCTCTTGTCTTGTGTGTTTTGTGAGGCTTAGAATGAGAAGAAGCAGATAAACGTCGTCTTTTAGATGCTTCAGATTCACGACCTTCAGTCGTATTGGTATTTGCGTTGACTTGACCATCACTTTGACGTCTTCTTGAGAGACTTTCATTTGAAGTAGGTGAAAGAATGTGTTGTGTTTGTTCTGTATCCATATCACTTGTTTGTTCTTGATGTGTAATAAATTCATCCTGTTCATCTTCTGAACTATCTTCTTCTTCAGTAAGATCACCTTGTTCTGCAAGGTGTTGAAAGAGATCATCCAATAGCATATCACCATCATTGACAATCACTTCTTCTTCTTCTGCAAACATCATGTCCTCATCTTCATCCATATCTGTGTCTCCACCTTCAATATCGAAATCATCATCTTCATCCTCAGGCATTCTTGCTCTTCTGTAACGCGTAGAAAGCCAAGCAAGTTCAGGACGAAGAGCCCAGTCTTCTGAAAGCACTTGACAGACAATATCACGAATGATACAATTACCACCATCTACATTATTAAAAAATTTGTATCGACCACCTGTCAGTTCTTTAAGCCAGTCTAATAACAATCCACAAATATCTTCTCGTACTGTCTTTTGCATAGAACAGACAGTGACAGCCAAATTAATGGAACTAATGATATTTGCAATACGCACTAAGCTCTCCACATCCGAGGACTCTTTGATGATATGACGACCATAGACATCCACACATTCAGCAGCATGAGCAGCTTCTTCTTTTGTACAGCCAAGTGCATCCACTACAATATTGATGACGGCATCAAACGAATGTTTTTCATCATTCCATAAAATACAGGCATAGGTCTGATTTGGTGCATTGGTAGGTAACCCAAGCGCTTCATGAGAGTCATGGCAATCTTGTCGAATAGATTCTGGTGAGCCTACTGAAACGACATCTTCGGGCGATGTAGCAAATGTTTCTAAAATATAATCAACAACGACTGTGATGGTCTCTCGAACAGACTGAATAATTCTGGGTGGTACACTAGAGAGTGGTTCAAGTGGATGGTTGGATTGACTCGCTGTATCTGTGGTGTTGGATGTACTGGGTGAATGAATAGCACAATCCAAAGGTATTTTCCATGCTTCTGGATCACCACAATCACAACAACCACCTGCTCCTCGACTGATCCAAATCTTGACATCATGGCCATCATGGTTTGTAGCGTGAAAACATTTTGAGCACATCACACAGGTATCATCTAAACCGCAGTTTCTAATCCTTATGTCAAGACGTATTGGGCTATGGTGGACACTTACCGGCAACGATACACGCTTTCGCCTTTTTTGAATAAATGGCCACACTGTTTACCTCGTTGGCTTTCCCAATACTCGGGTTCTTCTTCTGTCTTGTTCAAATTAGGTTGATTATGAGCGTGTTCGTCATGGTCGTGTTCTTCTGAGCCAAACAAGTTGTATTTCTCAAGCAACTGAGAAAGATTGTCACTGTCTGAAAGACTCTCTCGAAAGAAATACTTTTGCATCAATTGGAGGTCGTTGCTCCATAGTGAACGATAGCAGTTGGTCAGAATATGCTTTTCTGCGCCTTTATGGAGTTTGCTTTTATAGAGTAAAGGTGCTTCTGTAAGAAACGTCTTTAGTTGGGCAGGCGTTATTGGCACCGTGCCCACGTTACTCGACTCTGGTTTCGACGCTTCTGGTTGAGACATAAAGTTGGTAACGAAAGAGAAAATAAAAAAAGAGAAAGAAAAAGCAAGGGAAAAAACAACTTTTGTCGCTCACTACATGATTTTTTTTTGACAGTCAGCTAAGCGAAAGAAAAGGAAAAAACATGATCCTGGCGGGGAGTCAACCAAAATAGACATCCATCGAAATAGACGCACATTGTAGATCAAATCACAATAATGCATTATTAGTGTTCCTTTCATGCAGCATATTTTATTTGTTTAGAGTTTAGAATAAGTAGCAGGCTTTTTACTAACAAAGGCCTGAATTGATTTGGGAATATCCTATATGAATATGTTGAGTAAATAATAGAACTTTAGCATGCTTACCTCTGTGTTAAGCATAGGAGCATTCCAAGTAACTGTATAGGCTAAACCTTCGGCTACAGTATGATCGCGGGAGTAATTCAACAAGTGCCTATAGACAATGATTTCAATGTTTATGCATTTATAAGCATAAATCGTTACTTACTTTGTACCTACGATTGCGACGGGGGATTTAGAAGCAATGTCCCTGGCAATTTTGAATGCTTCGGCTATCAAGCAGTGTTAGACATCTATGCATAGACGAGAATGTTTATTTACCCAAAACAGCTTCCTGATTCTCGAGTACTTTGCTTACAAGGCCAGCTTGTAATGCTTCTTCAGCATACATACTATATATTTTTTAAAAAAAATGAATAAAAAAGTATGTATCATTTAACCTTACTTTCGGCCTGTAAAACAGAGTTCACGAACTAAACTTTGGTTGCCAATAACTTTAGGAAGACGTTGTAAAGAACCAACATCTGCAGCAAGCCCAACATCGACTTCCTTGACACAAAAGAAGGAATCTTTGGTACAGTAACGAATATCGCATGCAGTAATCAGATCAACACCAGCACCAAAACAAGCGCTATGTACAGCAGCAATGACAGGCTTAGGGCAGAGTTCGATGGCTGTGAAGGCATCTTGAAAATCTTCAATATGCTCTCTGTTTCTATAAGCTTTGCGAGCAGCATCTTCATTTTCACCTTGCATCTTTGTAATACTTGCTTCTGTCACTAAACAAAAAAAAAAGTTAACTATGGGTATTGCACAAACCATACTTTACAGTCTAAACCAGCTGTAAACATGCGACCTGAACCAGAAACAACAACAACAGACACATTACTATCACGATTAATTTCGCGGAAAGCATTTCTAAAATCTGCAATAAGCCTTGTATAAAATAATGAGCCTATTGATTTTAGCATGATTGAATATACATACTCGTCATTAAAAGCATTCAACTTTTTAGGTCTATTGAGTTGAAAGTGAGCAATGCCTTCAGCAGAGACTTCGATTTTAACTGTTTCGTATTGATATTTAGTAGACATAAAGACACAAAAAAAAAAAAAAAAAAAAAAGAAAAAGCAAAATCTCAATGTTTAAATAGAGCTCCGGTGGATTTATATTTGTAAGGCTTTTTCACATGAAAATTGCTTCACACGTTTATTTACTGGTAATAGCTGCACTTGATTTAGTAAACAACATATCAAGTGTAGCCATTGTCTCTAAAAGATCTTTTTGAAGTTGAATTTCTTGCTTGACTTTAACAGTCAAACGTGATAGTAAGTCATCAATAAGTGGTGATTGACCAAAGACGCGTGTATAACAGTCTAATTGATTAGCTTCAAATAAATGCTAAAATAAAACTTACCAATCACAGTTTCTGAGACATCCACCAACAGGTTTGTAAATCTAGGATGATGGATATTTCTAATCAAAAAGCGCATAAGAGGCTCTAGTGATACATCATCACGACCTGTAATGGCTTGTTTAAGGCCGTCACGGTGAATGAGTTCTTGAAGAACAGCAGCAACCACAACAGGTGTTTGACTGCTTGTCTTCAACACTTCATCCAAAGCATGAGCATATTGAAAGACCTTCATGAATTGATCGTATTTCTTCAATTTTTGTCGCTTTGTGTATTCTACCACAAAATCATCTTTGGCAACTGTGTTGGCTTGACCACGCATAAAGTATTTATAAGTACCACCCTTGATATAGTCTTGTTTTTGTTTCTTGAGTGCTTTTTCTGATGCTTTGATTTGGCGTTGACGGATAGACAAAAGACCATTGGCCATACCGGCTGCAAGATGGGTATCGTCAGGTGAAAGACCAACACTCAAGATAGGAGCTGGGTACTTTACGCTATGGACTACCTTGTAGTCTTGTACATCATATATCTTGACATGTTGATCTAATGAACCAGTCACTAGACGAGATGCTGATCCATCAAAGCACATACTGGTCACTGTCTTTTGGTGATTATTTAAAGTATGCATACAACGTCCACCACTTAATAAATCCCATACTTTGATGGTGGGACCACCTGAAGAAATAATGGCACCACCGTTAGGATACATCAAGATAGATTCAACAGGTGCTCCATGATGCATTGTCATGACACTCTCACTTTGTCGCATATCCCATACTTTGACTGTTTGATCATATGAACCACTGACAAACAAATTTGGATTCTCCAAGCTGACGAGACCTGATCTAACATAATCTTCATGTTCTTCAAACACATTGACACTTTCGCCTGTTGGAATATCCCAAATACGTACAGTTTTGTCGTCTGATGCAGATAAAATATTAGCTTTGTTGGTAGAGAACTGTGTTACTTGAACAGGCCTGATGCATGGTGAGTTAAATTAAGTTTTAGATGCTTGGACTTACATGGCATGCATTCGAAAGGATCTCAAGATAGCACGGGAGCCAACATCAAACATTTGAACAAGGCCTGTAGCATCACCAGCAACAAGAAGCTTACCGTCTTGACGAAAACTACCTGAATAAGCAGTGTCTTTAAACCGAGAAATAGTCTTTTTAGGCTGATGTGTTTTGGAAGAATAGATCTGCACACGAGTTGAAGAAGTGACAGCAAAGTCATAAGGTGCTACTGGAGAGAAGTTGATAGAAGTAACACTGGCATATTCTTTGATGACAATAGGTGACTATAACAAGTTAGAAATAAACAAGATCCTCAGCAAGGGACGCTTACTCTAAATCGTTTCCAGTATTTTGTTTCTGAAGTTTTCTTAGTGTTTTGTACTTTGGCGTACTTTTTTACTACAGTTTTTTGATAGTCCATGATATAAAAAGAAAAAGAGTTATCTTTAATTTTTTTTCTAGCTTTCTCGATTGTCAAGCGCGTATATAGTACCCGTGGAAGAAAAGCTGTCACAAATAAGAGCGCCACTCAATACGGAGTTGCCTATTTTTAGTTCTTGTAGGACAACAACTATGCAATGAATGTCTGCATATGAAGTGCTGTCAGTTAAAGTAGATGTCTCTTGAGCTGGATGAGACATCAAAAGCAAAATGCATCAAAGATTTGAAATAAGTCTGGAAATAGAAAGGACCAAGTCTATTTATTCTAAAACAAGACCCTATGTATCAAAGTGAACATTTTTTATCATTTTAGAATTTTATGTATCAAATGTATTTTATCAGTCAATTACATTTGCAAGTTACTATATAAAGAAAACAGCAATCATCTTGGCTTTTGTCTATTATGAGAGAATAAAACGTAGATCAAAATGCACAGAGTACCCGTCTATTTTTTTTCAAGGAGATTTATGTGATCTACAGTCTTTGTTGCACTGCATTCTCTCCTTCTTACAGAATTTTTGATTTACCCAACAATCGATGTTAAAGTTCTTTCAAGAGGATTAAAGGGAGGTATATGATGTTTACTATAAAAATACGGTGTTGTGTAACTACAACAGTTTACAAATCACAAGTTTTGTGGTGTAGAACGACGATAGAGTGCCTTTTTATCTTGTTGATGTATCATATAACTCAAATAATAAGTCTTTTCACTGTTTAATACAGCATTTAACTTGGCTTGAACTTCAGGATCCTCACTGTAGTTTTTACTTGTTCTTCGGGCGGGTATTTTATCTACTTGTTCCTGAGTTTGATGACTGGATGGCTGCCAAGTGGCTGATCGAGTTAAAGAAGAAGTCGACAGTGTGGCATTATCTGGAATAGTCGAGAGTTGTGTTGAATAAAATGATCTTCGTTTATTTACATAGGCTTCATCGCTGTCATGAAAAGGTGTATATAAATGACTTTGTCGACGATTAGGTATTTCTACTTGTATGGACGTAACAGAGGGTTCTGCGGTACATTGGATCTCTGTCTTGGTGCTTTCTTTTGATTCTTCTTTGCCTGAATGAAACAACCAAGACAAAAAAGTAGACTTAAGTTTGGTATTATCAGAAGGCATTTCTCTTTGTTACAATCAAGAAGAAAGAAAGAAAGAAATAAAAAGGGGTAATATTTTATTTTAATTGACAATCTATTCTTAACTCTGTTTGTACAACACTGATATTTATAATACCTTATTAAACAGAGAATGAATAACACATAGAATAGTCACGTGATAAATAGCGTCCTAATGAGTGAGAAGGGTGCTTGTACAGTTAACGCAACGCCCAAGGATGGGTCGAAAAAGAATGCGTACTCATTTAGACTTTCTTGAAAAAGAAACCCCGCCCATTAGGTTATAGATAATCGCCCTTTGAGATTGAGAAAACCGTCCATTGGAATTTCAAAAAACCGCCTTTTGTATTTTAAAAACCCGACCTTCGAAATATTTTTCGATCCCCCTTTGGCATTGCGTTAACTGTATTTGATAAAATGCTTGTTTTAGTTAAAAAGTCCATTTATGTATCATGATATCATTTCGAGTATGCACACACGTGAAGTCAGCGCCTATTTGAAATGAGCTTGATTTGACATCATGTTGCAAAGAGGGGATTGTCAAGATCTGATGACGCATGATTTCCTAATCGAGGTTTGCAGGAAGAATAAAAGAATTTTTTTGACAGCTCGATCAAAGCGAAATTTCTACCAGATCGCTCATAGGCTATATTTGACTTTTTGGTTTCTCGGAGACAGGGTAAATCCAGGATTGCCAAAGGAAAACGGAAAAATAGAAGCTATCAAATGATATCACTTTATAGTTTAGACTAAGCATTTTTTACATGTAGTACAAATCAAAGGCATATTTGGTAAACAGCAATCTTTTTCTTAGGGAAACAGGAGCAGAGAGTTGTAAAGTTTATTTTTTTGTTCAGAACGATACAAGAAAATCAAGCCTTGTTGTCTTGTATCGCTTAAATCGCTGATGCCAATATTTACAACATTAATTCTTTTTTATTTCTAGCGGAGCAATGGGTGCCGTAATCAAGAATGAATAAGAAAAATTTTTTTTCTATAAGCACGCAAGAATTGCATTATAAATCTTGCTTCTTGTCAAATAAACTTAGACTGATAAGCTCTTTTATATGCCAAAAGAAAAAGAAGAAAGCAAGTATGAAGAATTATTTCGTTCATTGACTTGAGCTTCTTTCAACAAACATTTGAGCCGAAATTCTCGGCGCTTCTTTTCAACCGATAGAATGAATAATCAAAAAGAAAAAAAGAAACATAGCCTGTCAAATGGAAAGAAACTTTTCCACATTTTTGGATTATTAATAATGATGAATGTAATGTTAATAATCACATATATTCGAAATCAGGTTGAATACCTGCTCATTGTGATGCTATTTGAAAAAAAAAAAAATTGGGGCAGTAAGAATAACAACAAAAGACGTGTCGAGTCATTAATATATATATATATATATTTATAATTTTATTGAACATTTACATATAGAAAGAAAGAAAGAAAGGTATACAACAATAAAAGTAGAATTGCGGTTTGGTATAGATGGAATAAATAGCATTATAACAATTAGAATAGTAGTAAAAGTAAGGAGATTTAAATCAAGTAACCTTCCATGATATCAGTACGAAGAATGTCTCGATTACCATCTCTGTATCTGACCATCCAGCGACCATCAGGCAACTTTACGTAAAAGTTGGAATAGGGGAATTCATTTTGCTTTAAATAGGTAGGACTGAAAGGAGGAATCATCAATGGTGGACTAGCGTTGTCCACAGTACTGACCAATTGCTTTCTGTGTCGTCTTTGTGAGGAATTAGAATCCATTTCGGCACTCTTTGTGGATAATGTAGAATTGCTATAGTTGTCATTTTTGCGAACAGATTCTGAAGAAGAAGAACGAGACTTATGGAACAGTTTACTGATCTTCGACCAGAAGGAACGATTGGACTTTGTTGAAGAGCAAGAAGAAGAAATAGAAGTGGATCGTGATTGTGGAAACATTTCGAAAAGAGAGAAAGTACAGAATAAAAAAAATAATTAAAAAGTGTATTTATATACTTTTTTTTTTTCTGTTTAGAAAAAAGGGGAGACGGATAAATTTAGCACAAAGGCAGCCAATCAAAGAAAATGCAGGCTGAGCACCTGAGACCATGCTACTTCCCCGGTATCTCAATCTGAGGCTTAAAAACAAGCATCTTTATTTGGCATACGCATTCATTTCCTTTTTCTAAATAAAGGCCAGATCTCTATAATTTTTGCTTGGTTTCAATCGTCTGTACACTTTGGATAACATCACCGGGCTGGAAATCTGTGAATCCTTCAAACGACATACCACACTCTAATCCTTTCTTGGCTTCTGTGATGTCTTTCTTGACTTGACGAAGTGCCTCTAATTCACCTACAAAAAGAGAAACCGATTAGAGTTACCGTGTCTTACGTCAACATTATCTCTTACCTTCCCAAACAATCTCTTTATTACGCACTACTCGCACACGGCCATTCTTATGAATTGAACCATTTGTGACTCTGCAGCCAGCCACTGGGCGTGTTTCTCTTCCTTTTGTATTGATATCGAATACTTGTAATAGAGCTGCTTCACCAACTACTTGAGTAGACACAATAGGTGGCAACATATCACTCAATTCATCCTTGACATCTTCTAGAAGCTTATAAATAATCGAGTACGACTTCACAGGGACTCCGATCTTGGCAGCCTCGGCTTGGATACGCTTATCAGCTCGTACATTAAATCCGATGACTTGGCCCTCACAAGCAGCAGCGAGTTGCACATCACCTTCAGTGATGTTGCCTACAGCACTATGTACTACTTTAACTCTAATTTGCTTATTTTGAAGACCTGATAGACAATCGACAACAGCTTCCACTGTACCACTTACATCACCTGTCAAATTGTAAATCCCCTTATACACGTGAGATCACTCTTCTTACCTTTGACTACAGCACGTAATTCAAGCATATTATCTTGTTGTAATTCTTGCTCTCCCTTTTCTTCTTGCAGACTACTCTGGATCGCATGCAACCTTTTGTTTAAGGAGTCGGGTAATGTGTCCACTAAACCACGTTGATACATGTACATTTCTTTCTTGTAAGCCTTTTCTGCCATACGTTCCTGCTCTAGTTGTTCTCTTTGTTGTCTACGCTTATCGTTAATCACTTCTAGATCACGCAGCTGTTGATCTCTTTGGTGTCGTGCAACGCGGTTCTCAACAACAGTTTTGGCCAAGTTCTATTTTTAATTAATGCATGTTATGAATTTATATTGTCATTACCTCGTCTTTAGCAGTCAGCATTTCGTCACCTGCACTAGGAACATCTTTCCATCCAATCACTTTTACTGGCATACCAGGTGTAGCCTCTTTGACCACTTTACCCTGATAATCAGTCATGGAACGGACTTTGCACCATGTTTGGCCAGCTACAACAACAGAACCAGGTTTCAATGTACCTCGTTGAACAAGCACGGTAGCCACATTGCCTCTTCCTTTTTCAATTTGAGATTCAATGACCACACCTTCTGCACCATGCGTTCTTTCAGCCTTTAATTCAAGAATTTCAGATAAAGTAATGATGGTTTCTTCTAATTGATCTAGATTTTTGCCTGTTAAGCCAGACACTTCAACACAAGGAACATCGCCACCGATTTCTTCTAAATGGACGTTATAACGAGCTAATTCTTGTTTGACTTTAGAGGTATCGACACCTGGTTTATCGCATTTGTTGATGGCCACGACAATAGGTACATTAGCAGCATGTGCGTGTTGAATGGCTTCTTGGGTTTGAGGCATCACACCATCATCCGCAGCAACAACCAAGACAACAATATCCGTGACCTGGGCCCCTCTTTGACGCATGGCAGAAAAGGCAGCATGGCCGGGTGTATCTAAAAAGGTAATTGTCTTGCGAGAAGGTAATTGTACTATTTTTTTTTTTTGTTGAGGTTGTTTGTATATATTCTTTACTTACCTGAAAATGCACCAATGTGTTGCGTAATACCGCCTGCTTCTCCTGCTGCTACTGATGTTTTACGAAGTGTGTCTAATAGAGTTGTCTTGCCATGATCGACGTGTCCCATAATAGTAACAATAGGAGGTCGGTCCATTAGTAAGCTGGGATCCACTAGCGCAGATCTTTTTTTTTTTTTTCATTAATTTTGTTTATCAATTTTTTTAAACTGCCTATTTACCTTGGATATAAGTCAAGAGATTGTCTGGAATCAACAATTGGATTCATATCCAGCTGCATAGCAATTAAGCTAGATTCATCAGCATTTAACACTATAGAAGAAATGAATACGTGTATGGCTTTTATGCTGATACATACTGCGATCATGAGAAGTACTACCCATTTCTAATTCTTCCATGGTTCTGATCAATTGCTCTATAGAAAACCATAAACAACAGTCACTTGTCAATCTTACTTACCCATTCGAATACCCAATACTCTTGACAGATTGGCAACATTGATGATTTCAGGAACATAGACATCTTTCATATGATGACTGGCTGCTTGTTCTTTTGCCTTTTGCTTTGCCTTTCTGGCTTCAATCTGATGGCGTTCTTTTTCTTCCTCTCGAGCCAAAGCAGCCAATTCTTCCTCTCGTTTCTTTCGTTCTCTCTTTTGTGCTTGAGTCTCTGATTTCCTGGGTGGCTGTTTAGCAAACTTATTGACGTGACGCTCGTGCTGTTTAGGTGTCTCGCCAGCATGCTTTTCTAGGTGTTGGTCCACAGGTCGAGTCCAGTCTCTTTTGGGTGCGACGGGTTTCTTGGGTCTGCCTTGTTCGGGTCGTTTTGCTGACTCTGGTCGTTTTGCTGACTCTGGTCGTTTTGCTGACTCTGGTCGTTTTTGCCAGTCGGTCTTTTTGAGCTTTCCTCCTAGTGTGCCTTCAGTAGGCATACCTAACTTGTTCTGTCTTTCTTTAGGTACACGACTTGTTGTCTGGAAAAACATGGGTCTTCCCATCCAACTACGCTGAGTTTGATAGAAGCTTATAAGCCTAGGCTGATTCGATAACACTAGTAAATTTCTTGCTGTACTCATCCTTGAAATAAAGATAGAAAAAAAATATATAGAGATGGGTTCATTTCTGTTGCATGGGCAAGCATTGGCTGTCTTAAGCAGGAAATAAGTCACAAGCGTGACAGTCTATATGTGGCAAGTGCATAAAAATGGATTTGATGCAAAAAAATAAGTTTTTTTTTTATACTTGCTAAGCGAAAAGACTAAGTGAAGCATACTGTTTCCTCCTCTTTCCATTCAGGTGATTTGCATAAAGAATTTCTCTCTCTCTTTTTCTTTGATAAGTTTTGATATCATCATCCTTTTAGTTAGTGAAAGTAATATGATAGATTGTTGTTTATCTATTACTTGTAAATGCTTGACAATTTTATGCTCAGAATGTTATTCCTTCGATGTTGTTGCTGCAGGACCCTTTTAAAAGAAAAAAAGTCTTCTGTTTCATCACTCGAAACATAAACATGATTGACTCATAATTCATTTTATTTTCTGAAATACGCCTGTTTAATATTGTATTACACTCAGCATAAAGATGCGTGACTTTGAAAGCATAAGTTGAGAAAAAAAAATATTAGACCACTCCTTCTCTTTATGTTTTACGACTGTAACATACCTTATCCAAATACAATTGATGCAACAGAGTTGCAACGTATCGAGAAAATCCTGGACAGGATTCACTCTTGTAAGAAACAAATATGCATTTATCTATTGTTCTAAATAGCCACAGTTGACAAGAACAGTACGATTGCTTTTAACCTCTCTCTTGAAGGGAACCTCCTAGACGTCAAGGTAAAAATAGGAATAGACACTATGGTATTGACTTACTTTTGTAGAAAATTAACCCTATATCACCCAAAAAATTTCCTTATATGAATCAACTGACAAGAGCTACATTACTCGTAGAAGATCCAAAAAAGAATTATCAACTTGTAATAACAAGCTTCTTAATAGCTTTTTTTTTTTTTTTTTTTTTTTTTTTTTTTTTTTTTTTTTTTTTTTTTTTTTTTTTTGCTTATATTGTATTGCATAGGCAACTAGTTCAGCTTATCCCAAGATTGATATTTTGGCAGTTCGCCCAACCAATGCCGATATGTGTAAACATGCCTGTCAAACTCTTGAAGTAGATTTGATTTCATTGGATTTATCAAAACCTCGAGTGGTACCTGGCTATACACCTGCACAAGTAGCTGTGAATCGAGGCATCTTTTTTGAAATATGCTATTCTCAATCATTTAGAGGTAAATTTATATTATCAAGATGGGATTGTTACAACATCTACATTGATAGATCCCAACAAGAAATTTCAATTCTACAATAATGTCAAGAGATTAGTTGAGGTCACACGGGGACACCATTTGATCTTTTCAAGTGAAGCCATGCGAGCCTTAGAAGTCAAAAGACCAGCCGATCTAAGAATACTGTAAGTGATATTCTTTGGCTGTTCATCTAACCATGATTTTAGTGGGAGTATGTTTGGTATGACACACGATCAAATCGAGGCTACTGTGACAGTGAACTATCCCAGACTATTAAAGAAGGCTGGTAATAGGCTCAATAACATAATGATAAAGACTAATATGCCTTATAGAAACAAGAAAATTGACCTACAATGCAGTCATTAGTCTTGACAAGACACAGTTATTCCAACAAGACAATAAACGCAAAGACAATAATCAACAGCAAACATCAAATAAACGAGCGAAACAAAAAAAATAAAATCTATTTTAACCATTGTTCATAAATAGACTTGGCATAAGCAACCAAATTATCGTGCTTACGAACCAATTTAGCCAAAGTACCAGCTTGTTTTCTTTCCTCTTCAGAGTATTCACCATCAAGAATATGAGGCATACTCAAGATAGAATGAAGATAGGAAAAGACAACAGCATCCACAAAAGTAGGTTCACTAAATGTATCTATTTAGTTAAATGTATAAATACATATGTATATTTACCTTGAGCCAAAGAAATAAGTATCTTGTCCTAATTTAACAGAAAGTGCTTCTAATGCTTGAGAAGCATCTTGGTAGATCTGAATGGCATGTCAATCATTGATTTTACATCTAACTGTGTTACCTCTTCTCTCACAAGAATATCATGATCAGCAAGTAATGATTGAACAACTTGGTTTTGCTTATTATATGCCACCACCATATCAACAGGCTTAGGTATGTTTCCAAAATATGCTTTATGAATTGTCTGATTGGCATTTAAGGGTTCTAACCACATTGAAAACAACTAGAGAATTCATGAGCATAGGTTGTCTTTATCAATTCAATTACCAATGCAGCTCTTAGTTTGTTTTGTACAAGTGTAAGGAATGCTTTTGATTGTTCTCTATCTCTTTCTGAAGCTAATTCCTTTTCTTTATGCTACAAGAAGTTAGATGAATAAGTATATTTAGTCCTTACTCTTGTGTTCTTGATCCAATCAAGGATGTGTGGGCTGTCATAAATGGCACCTGTCACAGTAGCCAAGAATGGAAGTTGGCCTAGATCAATGTTAATGATAAAATATCACTCTTTCGTTTTTTATTTTTACCAGAAGGAGAAGCAGCAGGTTCATTTAAACAATCAATGTCAAATTCAATGCCACAGAACAAAAGATACATCTACACTATGTTAATTCCATCTTGTTTTTTAGATCAACATGCCTGAATAATCAAACAATCGACATCAAAACTAGCTTGGTTGTTTCTGTAACCAGGGCCATAGATATACAAGGTGTCTTTGGTAGGTCTATCAGGCTCGTTGACAGTAGGAAACGTTTTGAGTGGAAAATTCTTAAGCTTCAAAAACTCTAAAAAGGAAGGTAATTCAAGTGTTGGTAACTGGCCATATCTTGAGCTAGGCGTTTGTTCAGTCATGATATCCGTGAAAAAAATAAAAAATAAAATAAAAAAAGAACTGAGTTAATGCATGTCGTAAAACAAGAAAAACACGCGTCACGGTTTTCTTGTCTTTTTCTTTTTTTGGAAGGAAATGAATTGGGCGTATTTTTTTTTTTTTTGTAATGTTTATGTCTTGCATTAAAACAAACAATATATAATTTATTAATGATTGATGGGGAGGATGATTGGCGCACGCGTCATGCTTAAACCTTTTTTTTTTCGCCAGGAAAAAAAAAGATGTTTATTTATAGTCTCTTTCTTTTTTCTGCTGTCGAAGCGAGAGAATACGCAATGATTGGTTTGAGTTTTCAGGCACTCGTATACAGCATTTTGTCTTTGTTTGAGAAGACTATAGAGAAAGTTAATAATAGAACAAGAGTCATTTGTTATGATGGTACCTTTTTTATAGAAGGATAAGGGGAATAATGATCATCTTGTGGTTGATGATGATGATGTACCTCAATATCTGTATCATAAGGTGCATTCACAACCACAAGGGCTTCTTGTTGAGCTGCCATAATGACTTCAAATCTTGCAATATCGTCTAGTGTTAGGTAACAATACGATGCATTGTTCTTGATGACATTTTCTATTTCTTGATCAATTTGCTGCTTAAAACTGTCCAATTGCTTTTGTTCGTTCTCTAATGTTTGGTTGTAATTTCTTAAAAATTCTAATCTTTGTTCAAGATCGCTTGTTTCTTTTTTTGTTGTTGAAGAATCAAAGACATGACTACCACTAACATAGGCTGAGTTAAATGTGCATGATATATGATTTTTTTACTTACATCCAGCGTACATGATTTTTTGAGTTCTTTTCAATCAAGTGGATTCCTTCCAATACATTTGTAATATCATAAATACGTCTTTTTTGTACTTTGAGTTTGGCTGCAGCATGATTCAGATCCAAATCGCCATGTGCACTTGAGCGCAGCAATGCAATAAATTTCTTAGTCAATAGACCAAGTGAAGAATCATATCGACATGACTGAGGATTGGGTGCTTTAGGTTGTTTGGGTTCTATCAGGATGTTTTAATACATTTTTAAACAGGGGTTTTTTTTGTTTATCTATTTTACCCATATCATGTCTGTTTCTTTTGTTAGCGTCAAGTTGATACATGAAATTTAAGAAAAAGAAAGAGAAGAAGAAAAAGGACAAATTAAATATGAATCGTATTTATATAGAAACTAAATAAACAACAAAATAAATAATAATGATAACAACAACAACAAAAAATAATAATAATAATAATAAAGGAGAGAAGGGAAAGAAAGAAAATGAGGGGGAAGGAGGGAAAAGAAAAAAAAATTATGTATAAATATATATATATATAAAAATCAACAAGCAAACTAGTTATTCTGTGTTTCCTGCACAGACCAAACATACATGAGAAGATGACGATTGTTTAAAGTTAAGCATAAGTACAGAAAAGGTGATTTTTTTCCCTCTCTTTTTATTTATTGGTGTAGACTTGTTCTCCTTTTTTTTTTTTTTTTTTTTTTTTTTTTTTTTTTCGTTTCTCCTTTTTGTTTTTTTGACATTTTAAATCGATAAAGTAAAAAGCGGGTGGCTCAACGGTTTAAAAATGTCATGTGGATGTATTTATTGGTCTGATGATAAATATTATGCTGATCAAATCATTGTTCTCATATGACTATTGACGTTTTCATTAAATTCAGTTTTATATAGCCAGACAACAAACTGACTTATTTCTCGGTACATTTCATAAAGTGTCCCTCTTTTTTTTTTTTTTTTTTTTTTTTTTTTTTTTCTCAGTTCCAAAGATGTGCGCGAAAAATTAATCCATAACATACCTTAGGTAAGAAGAAATAAAATAAACTTTATTGTTTGGATCATTCTTGATTCGGAGGTTTCTCCCTTCAAGTAAGGAGTAAAGACATATTTAAGCTATCATTTCCCTCCCTTTTTTTTTATATTATTATTTCCTTTTATTTACTGCTTATTTATATCAATTGTCCAAACACATTGCAATAGCATGGTTTGTACCAAGGAACAGATCGACAATCTTTTTATCTAATTCTACACGCTGAGGTATGAATGCATGTTCATGATTCCCTAAACCTAAACGACTATGGATTCCATTTAATCCCCACATATAGAGTTCACCCGAAACTATGCCATCATGAATAATACATTATTTGTTATTTTGTACATACCTGTTATGGCAGCAGCATAATCAGTTGTAGCATATACTTTAGAAATACGATTTAAACCTTCAATTTGCTTTAATTCCAGCGTCTGAATTGTATCTTGGCCTAAACCTAATGCACCATAGCCGCATGTATGTACATTTCCATCTTTTGTCAACAAAACAGAAAATGGCCCACCCGCAGCAATGTCAACCACATCGCTTACATGGATCTCAAGTGGTTCTAAAATCTACTATAGCATTAAATCGTTTGTACCATATGGCATAACAACTTACTCTATCAATCACTTTCCCCTGAATACCTTGACCATATTCAGAGTTACCCCATGTCCATAACTTCCCATCTTGACCCAATGCCAATGTGAAATCAGTTGAACTAGATAACTTCTTGACCTTCATGGACAATCCTAGTCGAGAAGGTCTGTCTTTATCGTCTTTTCCTTGACCCAATTGACCATCTGCACTCCACCCCATACCGTAAATAGAACCATCGATAGTTGAAAAGATAGTATGGTCTAGTCCACATTGAATATGGTCCACTTTGTCTCCTTTAAATGGCACAAGTCTTGGTATTTGTTCTGCAATGAGTTTACCAGGATGTGTATTCTTGTTTTTGCCTAGACCTAATTGACCGTACATATTGTTACCAAAAGAATAAAGCTGTGTTGATTCTATGTTCAGAAAAGGGTTTACAAAAAGGTTGTTGATCGATTCTGTTTACCATCACTGCTTTCTGTAACTATATGTGAATGCTCACGCCCACAAGCAAGGAACTTTAGCTTTTCTTGTTCATTGGCTAATACTTGGCTTCCTACACCTAATGTACCAAGTTGTCCACTTTGGTTTAAACCAAATGCATAAACTTGATTACTCTCTGTTCCAAACAAGGAATGACCCCATCCTGTTGCTACATGAGTAATGCGTTGATCTCTCTATAAAGGACCGAAATAAGTAACATGATGGTATTGGTTTATTATTTACAGGTAAAGCATAATCCTTCTCATTCTTGAGACAGACAGGTCGATTAAAGACGCGATCCATATGACCTTCGCTCAAAGGCAGAGCTTGTGTTTGCCCCCAGCCGTAGAGTACAGTGTTAGGTGTAAATCTTTGGCAGCTTGAGTGAAAAGTTCGTCTTGTTGATCTTAGCATGTCTCTTCAAAAAAAAAATAAAAAAAAAATAGTGTCATTTCAAGAACTTCAAGTGCAAGGATTATGTAAGCAGGGATGGGGACAAAAGGTTTCTCAAGGGTTTATATTACACCAAATCGATTTTCTTTTTGCTATAGAAAAAGAAGGGACAGTCTACAGATGTTATCAGACATATACAAACTTGATTTTACTTAGATTCTACAAGTGGTATTCTTTAAAAGACATAACACAGTGGAATGAAAAACAGTTGTATAAAAACTAAATATCATGATTTGAAGTATAAAAAAGACCATTATATAAAAATTTATCAGACTAAAAGAGATTATCTTTGCTAAGTAAAAAAAAAAAAAAAAAAAAAAAAAAAAAATACCATACCATGCCAATTCTTTGTCTTGCGCTACAACAATAACTTGGCCGAGAACAGACACAATTCCATATCCGAAATAACCATTTGAGTTATTTATTGACTTTTTTAGAAAATAAAGCAAACCTGTTTCTTTTTTTTTTCGAGGCGACTATAAAAAAAAAGTGACAAAACTTTCTTTTCTCTTTTCTTTTCTTTTAAACTTTGTTTCATCATGGCCTCTATTCGTTCTCTTTCAAGCCGTATTTCTCGTTTTGCACTCTTTGAGTGTACAGCTGACTTATCCCATCTTAGTTCTCACGAACACGCTGCTTTAAAACACCTCGTCAAGGCAGGAAAGTATATTGACCAACTTTACATGAGACAGGCTTGGTCTGGTAATGAAGAACTCCGTAAAAAGCTTCATTCTGAAGGTAACAAGGAACTGTGCACCTTGTTTGAAATGTACAAAGGTCCTTGGGTAAGTCTTTTTTTTTCGAAGGTAATGTTTGTGCTGAATGATCCTAGGCTCGCGAAGATGATAATGTTGCCTTTGTCGAAGGCGTGCCTACTCGTCCTGAAGGCGGTAATTACTACCCTGAAGACATGACTAAGAAGGAATTTGAAGCATGGGTTGAGACATTATCACCTGAAGAACAAAAGAAAGCCAAAAGTTACTACACCATTATCAAAAGAAACAACCAAGGGCAGTTGGAAACTCAGAGTTACACCGAAGCTTATGCTGATTTGTTACAACCTGCTGCTGCTCATTTCCGTGACGCCGCTCATGAACTCAAGCAAGTTGAATACAGCCAACAGGAATTAAAGGGCACCCGTCTGGATGAATTCTTGATCTCCCGTGCAAATGCTTTTGATTCCAATGAATACCTGGATTCTGAATTGGATTGGCTTCGTCTTGGTAAATTCAACAATTTGGAAGTGACTGTAGGTCCCTATGAGAACTACACAGACTGTTTGTTTACATTGAGAAGTGCTTATGAGTTCTACATTCATGTGCGTGATCAACACTCTTCTCAGCTATTGGAAAAGTTTTCCGATCTTCAATTTGTGGAAGATCGTTTGCCTATCCCTGAAAAATACCGTAATGACAAGTTAGTTGCTGCTCCTATTGTAGTTGTAAACCAACTTTATGCTGCTGGTGATGTTGCTGTAAGTTTAGATTGCGTATGTGTGTGTTTGTGTTCTCTCAACTTAAGTTTAATTAGGTCCCTATGACAGCTGCTTATAATTTACCAAACGACGAAGAAGCTATTAAGCGAGGTGGTTCTAAATTAGTCCTGATCAAGAATGTTCAAGAAGGCAAATTCCAACATGTCTTGACACCCATTGCTCAACAAGTGTTGGCCAAGGATCAATTAGAGCACTTGTCCAAGGGCGCCTTTACGACTCACGTCTTACTCCACGAAGTCTGCCACAGCAATGGTCCTCACCATACGCTTACAGGTGATACTGTTCGTTCTAAACTTCAAGAACATCATTCTGCCCTTGAAGAAGCCAAAGCTGATATTGCTGCCTTGTTTGCTGCTGACATGATGGTGGATCATGGCACTATTGATGATGTGACACAGAAGCAATTCTGGGTGACTTTCTTAGCCTCTGCTTTCCGTTCCATTCGATTTGGTATTCAAGAAGCTCATGGTTTAGGCCAGGCCATTCAATTAAACTATTTGGTTCAAAAAGGTGGTTTCAAATGCGACCCTACGACACGTTTATTCAGTGTTGATTTTGACAAGATTCGTTCTGCTGTGTCTGATTTGACACACGATATTTTAGTGCTCCAAGGAGATGGTGACAAGAAGGCTGTGGATACGTTTGTAAGCAAGTACGGTGTGATTGATAGCCATACAAGAGCTGCTTTAGACCGTATTGACCATGCTGGTATTCCTGTTGATATTCGTCCTCATTACCCTCTTGCTCAATAAAATATTAAAGTGATTCGCCAAATTCTTTTAGCATCAAATGAAGTGCATGTCTTGCTTGATCCTCATCTTCATCATTGGCGTTCTCTTCATCACTGTCCATCGATCGACACATGTTTTCTAATTGTTCTAGCGTAGATAGCATTTTAGGTTCTTGAATGACAATCTGGTCATCTACAAATTGGAAAGGTAATGTTTCTGAATCCTTTGTAGCTTCTGATGATGATGATGCTTGATCTGTTGCAGTTTTCGATACTTCTGCAGCTGGTTGAGCTTGAGCCTCAGATACTATAGATGTTGCGTCAGGAGCAAACAAAGGATCGATGTTATGTAGTTCTTCTTTCTTGATCTCTTTCATCTTTTGAAGTAATTTGTGATCTTCCTATCAAACTCTTGAGCATACTTGTTATTTTTGTAGCCACTTACCTTGAGACTTTCTAGCTTTTTGACCCATATTTCTCTCAAATGTAACAAAAACTCTCGATCATCAGCAAAATCAGAGTAAAACTTTTTTGATCGTTTGCTATTCAAAAGTTCAAGTCATGGCATCAACATGATTACTTACGATAAGATGGGTGTACCAACAGGAAACCGTGTTTGAGTCAAAGGAAAATACCCAAAGTCATGCTTCTCTTCTTCAGAACTTGAAGAAAGTGCTTGAGATGTCTCCCTTAAGCCTGCTGCTGTTGTTGTTGTTGTTGTTTTATTTCTCTTGATAGCAGGCATAATTACAATCCCTAGGTTAAAAATAGAAATTCTTATTTTGCAAAAAAAAAAAAAAAAAAAAAAAAAAGAATCCTCTCAATGTAACAAAGTGTTACTGCATTAAAAAAAAAAGAGTGAGTGAGTGAGATGTTCTCGCCTTATTTCATGGAATTCTTTACAAGCAATAAGCATTTTGATGCAGTCCAAAGGCTTATATCGTATATTTTCCGAATTATGAAAGTGCATTTTATTTGGTACCTTTATTTTTGTTTTTGTTTTTATTTCTCTCTCTCTTTTCTTTCTTTACTATATTACAATGAACAGATTAAATGAGGTAATGTATGTGCATTGAGTGGCGTGTTTTCTAGTTAAACACTGACATGCCTAAAATAAAAGGTGAAACCAAGAACAGCAAGTATTTTTGAGGCAAGATATGAACGTTTATACACATTGGGTAAAGGCAATTTTGGTAAAGTGTATCTAGTAGAAGACAGAAAAACAAGGCAACAGGTAATTCAAACTAAAAAGTAACCACGGGCTTATAAATGCCATAGTATGCTGTCAAGGTAGTCGATAAAAAGACATTTAAATCAGGGGATCAAAGACAACATGCATTAAGAGAACAAACCATCTGCGAAACATTTGCTGCAGGCCTGAATCATAAAAACATTGTACGAGTGTATGATGTCTTGACTGAAAATGACTTTATCTATGTTGTGATGGAGTATATTGAAGGAGGGGAATTGTTTGACAAGATCAAACAGTCTAAGGGATTGGCAGAGCCTACTGCCCGAAGATGGTTTCGAGAAATCATAGAAGCAGTGGACTATATTCATGATGTATGTACACACATATTCTATCTCTATTTAGTACTCATATTGAGCATCATAGCATAATATTGTACATAGAGATTTGAAGCCAGAAAATGGTAAGTAGACTTATCTTTATTGAACTCTGACCATGTCATTAGTGCTGATTGACAAGACGCAACGTATCAGGATTTGTGATTTTGGATTCGGAAACGTTGTCAAAGAGAGACATGAAGTCTTGAGTACTTATTGTGGCAGTCCCTTTTATGCAGCCCCTGAAATGGTAACAGCCACACCGTATCGAGGTCCACCTGTCGATCTATGGAGTTGTGGTGTGATCTTGTTTGCCATGTTAACGGGTTCTCTTCCTTTCCAAGGTGACGAAATGCCACAATTGTTTCAGAAAATCAGTCGTGGGCAATACACAATCCCACCCTATGTCACACGAGATGCTTCTGATTTGATCCAACGACTCTTATGTAGAGATGCAAGAGACCGTATCACAGCCAAAGACTGTCTGTTGCACCCTTGGCTTATGCCACCTACGATGACACGTTGCTCATTACTAGCCTCCTCTCAATTAACATTAAGCAGTCGCTTCACAAATTTCTCGTCAAGAAAGAAAGTCAATACGTTTTCAGAAGGATCATCTTTGACATTTACGACGACGATAGTGGAGTCCAAAACAAACCGTAATATGACAATACCATTGATTGAAGATGTCTCATTACCTTCAATACCATTAGTAACAAAAAAGGCTGGATTCTTTCTCAAGATCTTTAGAAAAAAGACACAGGTGGCACCTGCAAGTCCTTTAAAAACAAAATACAAAGCAGAAAAAAAGACCATCAAGCCAAAATTCTTGAGTAAATTCAAAGGACTGTTTAAAACTTCTTTTCAGAAACGAATTACATGATATATATTCCATGCTATCTAAATAATAATAATACACATACACACAATCTATTCTTCCTTCAAGATGTTCTTTCTAATAAAGCCAGATACAGTCTCAAAAACAACCAAAAGGATACCACCACTAATGATCATCAATTAGTTTTGTAGAAAATGAAATCATAGACTTACCCAGGACCTAATCTCAAAACCTTCGGCAAGAAACCTCTGTATAATGAAGCAGCACTAAAAAAAAAAATACCATATATCAGTATCATGCTAATCATTACTTTTTTTTGTTTACCCTTCTTCTCTCACGACAGTAGCCAAACCAGGCCATGTCCAATTGTATTTTCTAGGACCAACACCATTATAACTTTGGACACGCGTCTTGACAACATCAAAAGGTGTATTAAAAGCAGTAGCAACAATACCACCAACTGTACCAGCAGCAAAGTTGGTCATACGTTGTTGGTTAGGATCCTATTTTTTTTTTCTATTAATAAAACCATTCTTAAAAAAAAATTACCTTAGACTTGGGCAACATATCCTTGACAGTGAAAATCAAACCAAAATAGGCACCGTTCCAGACGGCATGACGCCACATGGTAGCTTCTAAACCATTAAACAAAGCCAACACACCTTCGGAAGCAATCACTTTTCTGAAAGTATCAGCAGTACCATTGTATTTACCAAGCTAATAAGCATGAGTACAAGATACCACTTTATAATCTACCTACGTTTGATCTATCTTGCATTCTGACCTTGATAAGTTCAAAAGGAACAATCAAGACAGCTTCTGTCATACCAGCACTAACACCAGTCAAAATAGATAAAGACTGAGTTACTTTCTCAAAACCAAAGATCTTTTTGTAGAGTGTGGTGTATTGTTCATTAGCAGCGAATTTGGTGGCACGCTTAGGTGCTTCAACCATAATAGGTGGCAAGATACCACGATAGAGAGAGGCGGGACTTATAATCTGGCGTGAGTCACACATACTCATTTATAAAGTGGGGTAAATCTTACCCTTCTTGCTTGATCATATTTTTCATCGTTTCGACAATACCCGTATTGGTACCTGTACTAAGTTGTGCTCTTGTCTTTACGACTGGGCTATGTTTGTCATCTCATTCTCCCTCTCTCTCTCTTAAAGGGACTTACCATCTAATGGGTACATCACAAGAATTTCTGATACACCAGCAATAGCACCAGCCAAAAACTGGAAACCGAAAGGAAGAGCTATACAAAATGAGTATGTCTTTTTCCTTTGTAAGCTTACGTTTTTTTTGAGCTTCAGACATATGATATATTGAATAGAATAAAAAGTGAGAAAGAGAAAGAAAGAAGATGTTTATGTGTATATGTGTGTGTATTTTTATTTTTTTTTAGATGAACATGATTATCTAGATCCCGCTACTCACTTCTAGGCCAATTAACAGCCCATATAAGCATAGCGCAGATATCAGTCATAGTCAAATTTCCTATTGGCTGACAGGATAAATCTATGCATATGCTTTCAACAGCTTTTCTTTTATCCTTTTGTTGTACAAAAATCAATCAGGTACACTACTTGGATCATTTATCCAGACTGCTTTACATGCATAAATAGACTCATTATACATAAAAGAAGTTTTTATCCAACCCTTATTTCATGTAACACAAAATCCATATAGAAGCGAACCCAAGTGATTATTTAAATGCGTTCTATCGTCATAAACTCTATATTGGATCACTCTGCGTACTCTTGGCGAAAAACATGAAAGTTGGTTTTTATAAGAGCATACTTTTTTTCTTTTCAACGAAGGATACACACATACACATGAACATAAATCTTCTCAGCAGAAAAAAAAAGTGTCACAGGACATTTCTTGAACAAACTCACCTGTCTGCTTTATTTTCTCTCTCTCTTTTTTTTTCCTTCATCTTTACAATGACAACTCAACAAGACCGTATAGGCTACTTTTCAACCCTATGCCAAGAACTTTATAACCCAAAAACGCCTTCTGAACGAGACCAAGTTCAAAAGATACTAGAAGCAAGTTTTCCGACTTTTTCTTCAGAAACAGTCAATAAACTTGACTTGGATATACCTTCGTTTGGTATCTCAACACCTACAGATACAGCAAATGCTTTACGTATCATGTTGGAAAATTCACCTAATCCTTATGTTCAAACATTTTCATTGTCAAGACTAAAGCAGCTTGTCATGGCCCAGTTTACTTTGTTTGATAAAGACACGAAACTACAATTGCGTATGTTGTTGTTATTGTTGTGTGATAAGAATGGAGGGGGGATGCTTATAAATTGATAGGTACATTTTTATTGGAATATGCTTTTATGCATCCAGATTTACAGCCATTTGTTATGTCTCAGTTGGCAAGTGTGTTTGCTTTATTGACTCGATTTGGATGGCTTGATCATGAAGAATATCAACATGTCTATAAAGACATGACACAATTTCTTCAGGTAAAAAGTTATTGTTGTTTGTAGATACATTAACAACCATTTTTTTTTTAAAAAAAAGGCTTCTGCTGAACATCGTATTGTGGGATTGCAAATGCTTGCTGTGATTGTACAAGACATGAACTCTGCTACTGTTCCTAAATATTCAGCCAAATTCAGAAAAGCAGGTAAACACAATGCTTTTGTTATTGTATATTCAGTCCTTTATTAGCTGCTGGTCTTCGAGATACACAGTTGTTAAACATATTTGAAAATGCATTTCAAATTTTGGAGGGTATCTTGACACGATCTATTCCATTTGAATGTAAGCCTACTCAAAAGATATAGTACTGATATCTGTTTCATGCTAGCTGATCAAGAAAACAGAACAAAAGATGCTACACTTGATTTACTTTTAAAATGCTTATCTTTTGATTTTGCTGGAACAAGTGCAGATGAAGCAAGTGATGACACAGGCAATGTTCAGGCAAGTCATCAGCTATGTATAATAAACAGAATACCAACAATGCATTTAGATCCCTACTTCATGGCGTACTATTTATCAGCGACAAGACTTTGTTCCTTCTTTCTTTACTGCTTACCACGAATTCCCCTCTTCTTTAGCCAGTAAAGCCATGGAATGCCTTGTTCAAATAGCAGCTGCACGTAAAGCACTGTTCAGCACAGAAGAAGAACGATCTCAATTTGTGACACGTATCATGCAGGGCATTCGAGACATCATTTTAGCATCTCAACATTTATCAGATTCAGATTGCTATAATGGGTTTTGTCGTTTATTACAGAGGTTTAGAACAACAGCGCCATTGAATGAGATAGCAGAAAAGCAAGACTATATGGCATGGATTGAATTAGTGGCCGGATTTACACAAAAGGCCTTTCAGTCCTCTACAGACGCTTGCTATTATCTCTTGAGTTTCTGGTCCCGTATTGTTCAGAGCATGACTTATTACCAGAAACTGGAAGATATGATTGTGCAGAAATTACAGCAGATCACTGTCGAGTTGACAAGGACATTTATTTCTGCTTATCTTGAATCTGTGCCCACCCGGATGGAAGAACTACTCGATGGTATTCATAGACATATGATGCTTATGACTTATGGTTTCCATAGATCCATTGGAGAATGAAGATGTCTTGATTGAATCCTTGAGTATGTTGGGTCAAATGGCGCGCTGTCAATATGAAAAATCGTGTGCTGTTCTCCTTGACTTGTTTGACCCCATCATGGCTCATTATGAAATATTCATGAACCAAGCGAATATGGGTACCATGAGCGGAGACAAATTGAAGGAAGCCATGGCTATCTTTGAAGCTCAATTTGCATGGATAGTGTATGTCATGGCTTGCTTTGTTGGCAATCGACCTGTAAGTTGCTTTCGTCTATTGAATTTGTATATACTTACTGTCCATAAGCCTTATATGAACATAGATGAACATGATCAAGCAGATGGTGAATTGACTACAAAAGTACTGTTGTTAATGGAAATCAATCAAAGCTTGGTTCAAAGCAATCCTTCGTTTTTGAGCTACAAGTTTGATCTTGCCGTCATCTATTTCTTTTCTCAGTTCAGAAAGAGCTATGTAGGCGATACCAACAAAAAAGAAGTCTATCAAAAACTCAATCAAGTGTTTGGTATTGAAGAAGAAAGCGATATGTTGAATGCCATGATGCGTAAAATGTAAGTTCAACGTACAAGGGGGCAATAGACTAAAACACAGGCTACAGTATGACCAACCTTCAAGTATGGGGTGAGAATGCATCTGTGATTCAGAAATCATTGATCTTGTTTGATGAACTTGCCAGTGGCTATAGTGCAGTCAAGAACTTGAGAAAGCTTGAAACAACATCGCTTGTGATGCAGAACCATTTATCCAATGAATTTGCCTTCTTTGATCATGACAAGCATCGACAAAACCGTATGCTTTATTACCAGACCTTGTGCAAGATTCTGTTTGCTGAAGACAGTTCTGAACAAGAGTTTTACGAATTCATCAAACCATTTGAAGTTCGATTAGAAGATCTGTCCATGTTGAATACAATGGAGGAGTATCAACAACCTCAAGTTCAGGTAATTTGTTTAAGAAAAAAAGTAGAAGAGACAATTGAACTCATGTTTAGTAGGGTGCACTTCAGGCTATCTTTAGAGACCTTCGTGGCTTTATTGAGCCCATTCAAAGCCGCAAAAACTATAGCTTGTTCTTTCATTGGTTTTATCCTGACTATATGCCCGTCTTACTCAAAGGCGTTCAAGCATTGTCGCCTGATTCCTCGACCCATGTGCTGCTTAAATTCTTTGTTGAATTTGTAACTAATAAAAGTCAAAGATTAAGCTTAGATGTATCATCTGCGAATGGCGTCCTGTTGTTTAGAGATGTCAGTCAAATCTTGTGCACATTTGGTAAGATCAACATGCTATAAATTGAAACTAACTGTTATCATTAGGACAACACATCATTACAAGACAAATAGTAGATGAAAGCAAGAAATACCCAGTCAAATACAAAGGTGTAGCTGCATGTTTTCAAATGTTGGCTAAATGTCTTGGTGGTAAATATATCAATTTCGGTGTATTCTGGCTCTATCAAGATAAAGCCATTCAAGAAGCATTTTCTATCATGTATCAAATGATGCTCAATATACCTCTTGAGGATATGATGGTAAACATAATGATCAATGATGATGGATGACTTATACTACCATATAGAATTTCCCCAAACTAAGCAAGGCTTTTTTCCTGATGTTGGATGAATTCTCGGCAGAACAGATGATGATGGATCCAGACATGCCACCTGAAGCATTTCTCTATATCCTTGAAGCCTGTGAACAAGGTGTGGAATCCACTGATTCGTTTGTGCGTACCCATGCATGCTCTGTTATCAACAATATCTGTACATTTGCTATCCAACAGAATGAAAAAGCCGAATTACGTCGCCATACAGACGAAAAGAACAAGAAGAACAAGCCTATTCAAGGCCTTTGGCTTCTTAACTATTTCTCTCAGTTCCCTCAAGTACTGCCTCGATTACTCAGCACATTATTTGGTATGATTTTATTTGATGACAATAATGATCAATGGCAGCTGTCAAGACCATTATATACGCTTGTGTTACTTGAACGTGATGTAGGTCCCTTTGTACGACATGTCCCCCCTCTCACACATACAATTTCTTTTTTAAAGTTTGCCTCAAAATACACAAACCAAGTGATCCTTCAACAATTACCGGAACGCCGAGAATTTGTAACCAAAGTAAGTTTAGTTTTATCGGAAAATCTGTTTTTAGGCATATTTACATTCAATATATATAGGCTTTAGGTCATCTTATGGAAGGAAGTGGTTGGACACTCAACACAAAAGACAGAGAACAATTTTCTCAACAAATAGCAAGCTTAAAAAGAAAATTAAATACAAATCATATTGTACTTGTACCTTTATAAACAATAAACAAATTCAAGAAGATACAGGAATACCTTTCTTTTCTTTATACATGACATCTAATCTGGGTCGTTTATCTTCTTGTTCTTCTTCATTGTCTGCCATTTCCAGCATACGTTTCTTGTAGAATCCCTTTTGAGACATGCTCATCAGTGTATCTGCTGCACTATTTTCGACTGGGCTTGATTTCTTTTTGGAACTAGGATGGCTATGACTACTACTGCTACTACTGCTACTGTGGCGATGGTGATAGATGATTTTGTTGGGAGGTGTAGCAGGGTTCTTTTCGGTATCATAAAGTACCGAAGTTCTTCTCAGGGGTTCATTGTTGTCATTATATGGACCAAAAGGAGGTGTAGATGGACGATATATATAAGGAGAACCAGATTTGGAAGGGATGGGCGATCTTACAGCGGAAGGTATTTTGGTGCGATACAAGGGTGATTCCATCATAGGATTCATAACCACACGTTCTGATGGTGTAGGGGCTTTTCCGCCCTCATTGCCGATATCGGGAATACGAACATCCGTGCTTGCGTAGTGAGGATAAGGGACGGGTGAACGGCGATCATTTGCAGGTAAGGGAAGATCACGTGGTTCCTAACATAACGTGTCAATAACATACACACATGTACACATATTACCATTCTAGGATGTCTGGGTGGACCACTGTTGTTTTGATACTGATATGGGTTATGTACATCTTGAGGAATAGGTGTAGGATGAGGTACATTGGCATTCTTCAAGAGTTCTAAACGCTGTCTAATATGAGGATTATGAGGATCCAGTTCAGCAGCACGCTGATAAGCATCTACAGCATCTTGGACTTGGTTGTTGCATGATTCATACAAGGTACCCAAATCATACCATACTTCACTAATATAAGGATTCAGACGAATAGCTCGGCTATACGCATCCAGGGCATCCCGGTATTGGTTGATTTGGTAGTACAAGACACCAATCGAGCACCAGAAAGTTGGGTTACGTGCATCTCGATAAACAGCCTGCTGATATGCTTCGTATGCTTTGTTATAGTTTTGTTCTACCATATAACATCGACCCAATAGATACCAAGACTGAGGGTCTGTACTGTCTGCTTTTAATGAGCGAGTCAAGTATTGAATGGCTGTTGCTTGATTTGAAAAAGAGGCGTTTTGTTGATGGTATAACCACCCTAGTTGTTGAAGTACTTTAGCGTGATCGGGGTTTTCGGTCAAGACACGCTCATAGGCTTCTTTAGCTAATTCATATTCTTTTTGTTGTTCATAGACATGGCCTGTTTGGAACCAGATATCAATCTCAGTTAATGGTCTTGGTGGGTTGTGTAAAATATATCGGAAGCACTAAAAAAGGTAAGGGCTTCTTATACTTATCTATTGTGTTGTCCTTACCTGAAGTGATAAATCATACTTTTGTTGTTGTTTATAAATAATGCCGAGTCGAAAATAGATTTCATTTACTTTTTCAAATTGAGGATCCATTTTCATCACAGCAGAAAATGCTTCTTCAGCATGTTCAATAGAACCATAACGATCATACAGAATACCAATACCATACCATAGTTTAGGGTCTTTAGGACTTTGAAGGTGATAAAGGGCTTGTTGATAGGCTTGATAGGCTTCTTGTAAGTTATCCATCATCAGATAACAATGTCCTAAAGCACTCCAAGTATCACCATGATTCTCTTGCAAAGAAAGAATACGTTTAAAGTACTCTATTGCCTGTATTTGTATAGTAAGTATATAAAGATATTGTTATTTTATAGTTGTGTACCTTGCTAAATTGTTCTCTGCCTCGACACAATGAAGCCATATGCGATAAGGCGGGAATTGAATATGGGTTATGTCTTAGTGCAGATTCATAAGCATTCATGGCTCTTTCCCAATCCGTCATCATCTCCGCCAAGCTACCTATAAATAAAAAAGCTAAAATAAATGTGGCGTCCTCAAATCATGTTTCCAGGCTAGTCTTTATTTGGCAAAATTGTTGTACACGATAGCATGTTACACATGCCCATGTTTTTTTCTCTCTCCCTCCCTTTTCTGTATCTTCTCCCTTTTTTGGCTCCGTCATCATCCCTCTCTTTTTTACTTTGCTAATATATATATATATATATATATATATATATGTACACAAATGTATCTATTCCTTCTCCCCCCTCTTTTCTTTTCTTTTGTTTTTTTTCTTTGGTATATACTTTACCTAGTGTTAGCCATGCTTGTTCATTTACATTTGATAATTTCTGTATAATAGGCCACTGTTTAGACTGTTGAGGTGTTGGTATATTGTTAGTGTTGTTAGTAGCCATGTTTTTTTTCGTTTTTTGCTAATCTCCAAAAAAAAAAGGAAAACGAGATGAGGAAGAGAAAAAAAGTAATAAAAAATTAAAGAGAGAGAGAGAAAACAAGAAAAAGAAAAAAGAAGAAAAAAAAGCAAAAAAAAAGATTTTTTTTTGTGTTCCAAAGAGCCCTCCTCTTATTCATTCTTATTCATTTTCTCTTTTTTTTTTGCTGTCTTCTCCTTGTCTTTGACCCCCCTCCCAATGCATGTGTGTGTGTGTGTGTATGCAAATCTGTGCTTTTTGGATTATGACGAAAAGAAAAAAATTTTTTTTGTGCTAGTGCAACTCCCCCCATTTTAATAACAAAAAAAAAGGTTTCAGATAGATTCAGATCAGACTAAATTTTAACCTTGGTTCTCCTTGCAGACAAGCATATCACGTGTTTTCTCGTTTTCCTTTTTGGCGATACATGCACCCCCTTTTTCTTACATTTTTTTTTTCTATTTTTTTCAAGTGATGGCCATAAAAACCATGGTGGCCAATGTGCCTTCTGTCACAAGAGCATTAGTGTTGATAGTGTTGTCTTTGTCTATTAGCTCTTATGTCTATATATACCGTTTACAACTCGAAGCAGATCCAGATACACCTGTTCTTTCTATTTGTCCTTTTATTGGTCTTTTGCCAGGATTGTAAGTGACATGATATACGTGATATCCAACTCAACATGCTATATATAGTGTTATTTATGCACCTTGGACATTTTTGACAGCTGCCTTTTATGAAAGTAACATAGTGACGGTAACTTAGCAACAGACTCCTGTTCATGGATATAACCTCCTTTTCTATTTATTACTAGCTTTTATTGAGTGTGGTGATCTTGTTATTATGTGGAAAATACCTTGAACGTGCTTGGGGCTCAAAGGAATTACTCAAGTTTGTGCTTGTATCAGCTGTATTGTCAAATGTTGTCACTTGGTTTGGTATTTTGATTTCTTATTATTTATCAGGGGATGATAAATTCTTGTATCAAATTCAAATCAATGGTATGTCAGGCGTGTTTTCAGCATTTTTAGTTGCTTTTAAGCATTTGATTCCTGAACATCGTATTGCTATGATGGGAGGAAAGATATCTATTCGTGTCAAGGTATGTCTATATACATACTTTTTTTTTTTTTATACTGAAGAAATAGCTAGAATCTATTAGGTGTTGTCACAGCCATCAGTATTATCAGCCTCATTTTATTTAAAGCCATTGTGTTTTATAATCTTGTCAATATTGGTTGGGTGGTTGGCTGGATTTATATTCGTTTCTTTAAGTATCAAGACGGTATTCAAGGTGATCAAAGCGAGACATTTGCTATTCAGACATTTTTCCCTGAATTTTTACAGTAAGTAACATGTTGAAAATAAGAGGTAGTGGCTCAACATGTATTTTTTCAGTCCAGTCATTCTGTTTATTTCCAACATTGTGTATGGTGTGCTTGTCAAAGTAAGATGTTGTAAGCCTGGTCCTCGTCCTTATCATGATGTTGAAATTGGCCATGTTGCACCTGTGCCTGGATCAGCCCGAGCAGAAGCCGAGAGAAGAAGGTAAGTCAGGGATACACAATAGATCAAAATAACTGATTTCAATTCAAAATAAGGGCACTTGCATTAAAAGCATTAGATATGCGTTTATCATCTAAACCATCTTCAAGTGAACCCAAACCAGACAATCCAGTTTTATTTGATGCAGAACAAGATACACAACCATAAATAAAAAATAAACTGCTTTTTGAATGACGTAAGCTTACTCGATTGAAACAGAGCTCCAATCAAACAAGAGAGTAGGGCATTGAATGAAATCAAGACCATCTTTTTTGGCCCTGCTTTTTTATTCGCAGCCCTCTCTCTAGGGGGTGCCAAAGATTTTTTTTTCTTTTTTATCTTTTTTAAAGGGGGAAAAAGTTAAATGTCTATCATATTGCCTAGAGAAGGCTGGAAGTCACAAAAACTGTTGGCAAGAATATGTCATAACTGCCTCTCAAGGCAAACAACCCCCGTTGTCTTGCGTCGACTGACCACCACTACGGCTATCGCACCCATCCCACCCAAACCAAAAAACACACTCTTTGAAGACTTTCGCCATGAGATATACCAACCCTCTTTAAATACAACTGATACGAGTCTATACAACCCACATGTTCGAAAAACGATCCATCGAAGAGAATCAAGAAAACGACTGATGCAATGGTACAAACAACTCAAGCGACAATCACCAGCCCTTCTTGCTCAACTCACACAACACGATCTAGACCAGTTTATTGAACGCTTTGCTTCTACGCATCACCCAGACGACCCAAGTGCTCAAACGTCACTTCTTCAAGCACTTCACATCCTGGACGATCTAAAACGAGGCGACTTGTTCTTACAGGCTACATTTCGTGTTCAAGATGCAGAACGTATGATTTATTATGCATCGATGCTTCAGTTACCCAAGCGAGCAGAGAATGTGTTAACGGAGATCGTGATTGAGAAAAAGCAGACGATCAGTATGGCTGCGTATGAAGCAGTGATTGACTTGCTGGTTCGACAGAAACGGTTGAAACGAGTCAATTTCTGGTTAGATCATTTGGCTCAGCAGCAATTGGCACCTTCGCGTAGAATTGTGAGGACAATGGTATTACATAAATTAGAACAAGGACAAATGGACGAGGCAGTCGCGTATTTAAAGCAACATCACCCTGGCCAAGACTTAACACAGTTGGTAGCGCGATATGATGACCATGAATTGGTAGCACAAGCATTAGGTGTGTTTGGTAAAGACGCGATGGATCAATGGCAACTGAATTCAGTGCGATCCATCTACTTGATTCGACGTCAACTGAAAATCGGGTCATTGCAGTTCCTTCGGAATCTGATCAACAAAGCACTCTATACATATCAAATACGAACAGCAGAAAGTGTGTTGAAAGATACTTTGTCTGTTCAAGACATTGCAGGTGCACAACTGTGTTCTCAACGCATCATTCAATGGTACTTGACAAACAAAAACATCAAGCAGGCTGTGCAAGTATGGGAATGGATGGATAAAGCAGGGATTCCCCTCTTCCAAGGCATTTTCAAGTCATTGGTGGAACATGCAGCCAAAATGAAATACCATGTGGATACAATGCGTCTATATACAAGATACAAAGAATTATACCCTCACATGCAGCCTGACATGGCTATTTATGTCTTACGCTGTATGGTTCGTGCAAAGCAATGGGATAGAGCACAACAGTTGGCTATGGAGGTTGAGTCTACGTTGCCTACACTGAATCCTCCCTTGGCCAAGATGGCTGTACGTACCTTGTTTGGTCTATGTGCACAAACAGGCCGTGTGGATTGGTTTGAACGGGTCTTTCGAACAAGTGAATCCATGCAGTTATCACTGACACATGAAGGATTGACGTCTTTGACTGCTTGTTATCTGGAACGCGGTGATGTGACTGCTGCTAAAGCTGCTTTCCACCAAGTAGCAGCGCATACGGATGGACCTGATGTGGTTGACTTCAACTTATTGATGCGTGCTGTGGTGATGGAAGATAAAAAAGTAGACCATGACAAGATTTACGAGATTTTGTCCCATATGAAATCAGTGGATGTGACACCTGATGAAACGACATTGCGTACCATGTTGGGATTCTATAAGGATGGAAGTGAGATGCAAAAGAACTTGTTTTCTAAGCTATTGAAGTCATCTCAAGCTCGATCAGATCAAGTGTTTCTAAACAACATTGCATTGACGTCTTATCTAAAGCGTCACGATATTCAAGAAACAGTGCGTATGTTGTGCAAGAATGACCGTGGTGCATTGTTTGAAAGTGAGCGTGGTCAGCCTATTTTACGCAATGGATTGACTTATCAGATCTTGCTGGATGCTACGCATGAATCGCGGTATTCGCATCTTGCAGAGCGATTGATAAAGGACATGGATGTTCGCGGTATGAAACCACCTCAAGTGATTTATGAAAAACTGATTGAATCCTTGGCCAAGAAACGAAAACTAGCCAAGATTCGAAAATACATGGCCAAAATGGAGACAGACATTGGCATTAGACCCGATGTGAGCTTATATACCAAAATCATAGACAATCTGATACTTCGAGATGCCCCTCATTTAGCAAAAGAAGTGATTCAAATAGACATGAAGGCAAATCAAGTCAAGCCAAATGCAAATCTCAAAAGAAAATTGAAAATCATAGAATCCAAGTTAGAATCCGTGTAAATAAAAAATAAATAAACTCTATGTCCTTTTTTTATTATTGTTATTTTGCTATATAGCCAAGTCTAAAAAGTGCTGTATGGTATTTCCTTCTTCTGTATCTGTATGATGAATAGTTGAGATGAAGTCTTGCATCATATCAAATGTAATCCAGTCTCTTTTAGCCTCAACAGCAGTAGAAGAGGTATTAGTGGCAGATTTAATCTTGAGTTCTAAGCGATGATGTTTGGTATCCATGGTATGTTGATTAAAGTGAATAAGAATGCCCGAGATTTGTGCTCTTGTTTTCTCAAACAGTCTAGGCAAATCGAATTGATTGACTCTGGATAATGTGGACTGCAGTTCTTGTGTTGTGTAATGATGCACTTGAGTCAAAAAAGGTTCTCGATTGTCTAGAATACACTGCGATAAATTATGTGTGGAAGGGCAATACTGATATAACAAGTGTTCAAGTTCAGTCTGTAATGTACTTGTGTTGTAACGGTTTGTCAAAATAGCAGGTAATTTGTCTTCTATAAAAGCTATTTTACTCTATGTCAGATCACCGTCTATATACCCATATAGAAACTTACATCCTACTGCTCCTTTTAATTGTCTTTTCAAGATCTGAATATCTACAGGTGGAGGCAAGACCATGTCTCTTGAAGAAGTCGATTTTGAATTTGATTTTGTCTTTATCTTCTTGACTTTGACATGAATGACATCTCTGAATTGAAGCGAGATTTTCCTTGCGAGCTGGTAATATGCCTTATCAAAATGATCAAACAAGAGATGGTTTGACAGTAATTGAGTGAATCGGTTTGTGTCTACTGTCACTGCTGGTAATGGATTAATGTCATGAGCTGGATGAGACAAGTCAACAAGTGAGCTTGTATAGACTGTATGAATATAGCCAATCAATAGAATAAAACTTAATATCTTCATTATTAAAAAAAAAAGAAGAAAAAGAGAAGAGAAAGGAATAACAAGGCCCTGCTAATTAACGTTTAAATCTCCTTTTGTGTCTAGTGTAACACATAAGCCAATTTAAATATAAAATTACTTTTTTCAGTATAAAGGCGTGCGTTCTTTTTTTTTTTTTTTTTTTTCTTATTTCCACTAAACGTGGATAAATGTATTTTTAGCTATTTTTATTTTTTTTTATTAGGACATTCTATAATCAAAATGGAACAGAAACAAATTGAAAATTAAGACACATCTCGAAAAAAAAAAAAAAAACTTAGAAGCAGAAAGATAAAAATTTGTTGGTGCAAATAGTGCAGTACCAAATGATTGTCTTTATTAAACTGTAAGGGAATTTGACTACAATAAAGCACCCTCGATACTGATTTTGAGAGTTTTCTTTTAAGAAGCATTTTACAAATAGACATGACTGATGACTTCAAACACTTTACTTAGTCTTCGCATGTTACTGTTAAAACGACGCTATATCGTATGTTAATGTCGTTTTTTGCTGCCTTGTTTTTTTTTTTTTTTTTTTTTGGAGAAAAGTACTTTTTTGTAACACTAAAACCAAAGAAGGTACATTATGCATAAAAGTGTTTATTTATAAACCAACAACATCAAAAATGACAGATGGTCTACAAACATCATTTACTTCCTTGAATGTAACAAAACTTTAAACAAGGTTCTGACGATGACAGGAAAAGTGATTCTAAACATAAAGAAAGCGAGTTTCATGACGAAAGCAACCTGATTTTCGAGCTACTTCACTAAGATAATTTTGGATTTATAATCTATGGTAAATCTTATGCTGAAATGGAATCCTGTTTCGTTATTAGTTATTAAGGGTCTTCTGCATAGTCTAAATCCAAGTATTTTTTATAATAAATGATACGCTTTCTACCTGATAAATTTCTTACTTGTATTGTACGAATCGCTTTCTGAGGCCTTTCACATGTTAATTTATCATCAGAAGTATTTTATACAATTGACCCTATTAAACTGTTTGATCCCTTCCCGCTAATATTTGAATTTCTCTCATCTTTTCTTTCTTTTGTCTTCTTTTCTTTAGTAACAACAAACAAGAAGTCCAATCTACATTTACCACAAAAAAATAATCTTTTGGTTTTCTTTAGCTTTCCAGAGTAGGTTATTACATAGCGACCCTTAGATAATGTGCAAGAGACATTCTGATTTACTCGAGCTTATCTGTAGCGAAGTAGAGGTGGCGAAGGGAGGAGGACGAAAAAACCTTTTTTTCTATTCACTTCATGAAAGAAAAAAGCAGACGACAAAGAAGGAGAAAGAGAACGAGCCGTAAGTTTCAAACCAAGAGGAGGAAATTCAGCAAAAGAAAAAGGAGTTGTTGAGGACTACAGCTGAGGAACTAGGTTCGTTCAAAGGTAGATGACTTAAAGTCAGTGATTTAAAAAATTCGTCTTCAGAATCAAAATTGACGAATGTTAGTGCTTTTGAGTAGCGGAAAAAACAGGTAACCGAGGAAGAGAAGGGTTACTTGTTTTTCAAACGTTTGATGTGTGTTGCTTAGTTATCTTTATTGGTTTTATAGGTAATAATGAAATCACAAAAAAAAAATCTGGGTTTGCAATTTGTCAAAAATAACGAAAGCGGAAGAAAAGGGGCTCGCAACTACCTCCCAAACTCCTAACCGTGTAAAGGCATCACGCTCAAATTTTGATTTTGGTAGCTGGAAAGTAGAAAAGATATGTACCGACGACCCCTTGATCCAAAAAATTCGATTGTATATTGAGAAATCTTCAAAAAGGTCTTATTCAAAGAGCAGACTATGGCAATTATGAAAAAGACCTTCTCAAGCTTTTGTAAGTAGCAAATAGAAGGATATGTGTCACATCAATCTAATGAGGTCTCATAGGTCGTTATCAAGTATCATCCTAGTTAGATGTACCTATCATAATGAAGCAAGCTTGGTGAGCGCAGTTGGAAAAGGTGATTTGCAAAGCTTCTATGAATCATTCAAAAGAGAAATAGATGAGTTTGATATGGAAATCTTAATTCCTAATTCAAATCATTTGATGGTTGCAGCAAGCCCAGGTTTTAAGTATATAGAAAAGACTAACTTAAATCTCGTTGATAGAGTTTCCGTAACAATGGTAGTCGAATCAAGCTTGATGCTGAAATGACAGCTTTGCAATTAAAAGCATCAAAATACACGCAAAACGGTGTACAAGTGCTCAAGTTACTAGCCATCAAAAGTTGACATGAAAGAGCCTCAGTTTACAGCTTCGTTTGCTGAGACCTTTCTTTTCTGCTTTGTTTGAATTTAACAACTGCCTGATATATAATGCCAATATAAGAGAAGGCAATGGCTGCAAAGAGAGCTATCGCCCAAATTATAAGATTGAATATTATGAAGACGATGAAAAAGCATTCTGCAACTTCTACTGCGAAATCAAGCCCAAGAAGTCCATCAAAGCATGCAGATAGAAGATTTACAAGAACCTTTATAAAATGACAATTTTTGCAAGAGAAGAGATGAAAAGGGACAAGCTGAAGGTGATTATGATCGCACATATTATGCATAACTGCCTCAAATTCTACTTGCTGATGAACAAGGAGGACTATTATGCATTACTTCGCCTCGAACAAATTAAGGTCCCTCTGTCTTTGAGCACTTTCAAGTTTGAATTAGAAGATTTGATGAAAATGCACAAAATAACGCAAGTGTATCAAAAACAAATTGAAAAAGCATCTTTTTTGCGCATCTTCCCTTACAATGGAGTTGAACAGCTGGTCACCAGAAAAGAAGATAGAAAAAGAAAGTGTTGTGCTAAAGTTGTATGAATAAATTGTATTAGTGACCAAATAATTAGCGCTTGAGTTGTTTTTTTTTGTTAGAACAGTGTAAAAAGTTATTTCCAAAAAAAAATAGGTCCCTTTTCACCATGTTATACTGTGATTAAATAAAGCCTCAGTTGGATTCAAAATAGAGTCTTGATGATTCAAGACAAATAGAAATAGGCAATCAGAAACTCCAAGCTGCTTTTCTTTTTTCAACTGAAAATAACCATCTTTATTTTGGTAGGATAACAAATAATCAAAAGCAACAATATAATCAAGCGCTTGTAACAGACAATCTAATTTGATATACTTGTCAAAATTAGATAAGGTTTTTAATTTGATTCTATTGATGTCTAACCATAGTAAATTGATATATTCCAAGACCATATAACCAAATATGTGAATCCTATTCATATCATTCTACTTCTTACCTCATCTATTGCAACTTTAAATCGTCTTTGAGAACCCAAACAAGTGAAGTTGAAGCATTTTGAGCATTCAACGTGTGTGTGTGTGTGTGTGTGTGTGTGTGTGCTTATATTTACCAGGCTTTCTGTTTATTGTTTAATCAAATAATCTGTTATATTCCTCCTTTATCACTTTGGTACCAATAAAATTTTTTAAAAAGATAGACCAGCTCAATAACTGTTTAGTGTTTTATTTGAGAACAAAAATACTAATAGGTACAAAAGTATTTTAAGCATCTTGTAGCTACTACAATCTTAGGGATATTATGCATCTCCAGATGAATTTCTTCAAATCAATTTTTCTAAAAGTTCTTACAATAAAATATTATATCATTGATGAGAGTTAATTTGCGTTTATTGATCTTCGCTTAGTAGTAGAATGACAAGAAAAAAATATTTCTTGCAGAAAAAGGAGTTATCAGGCTACGTTAAGCAGAGGAAATTATACAAAGGGTAGCAAAGCTACGGGTCTGAAACCTTGTGCCTTACAAACTATAGCTGGAAAAAGAAAAAGAGTACACAAAAAAATCCTACCATACGCGATACTTTAAAATGAGACAACAAAAGTTCTGAGGACAGCAGGTAACCCAGTGTGCCCGAGTTTGAAAATAGGGGTAAAGTAGAAGCTGTCACAGGTCCTTAGAATATCACCTTTTACTTTTTACTACTTCAAAGTATACTAGAGAAAAATAGTAAAATACTCAGAGAACTATGGTTCTGAGACTATACATCTTGATAAGTACCAGTTTGTTAATTAATAATACACATTGGTTATTTATATAAAAAAAAAAAACTAAGGAAAAAATGAGAAAAAGATTAGTGTCATTTTTGTGCTGCTCTTCAACTTCGGCAGTGCACTTTTCTTTGTCTAAAAACTTCATTTCATGCGCCAAGTCAATAAAAAAGTGATCATCAGAGAAATAACTCATAATAAGATTATAATCGTTATGGTCATGGTCGCAGAGAAAGTAATCAATAATATCTGGAATTTCTTCATCTTTGTTGGATAATCCTTTCTAATTTCATCAAGATCTTCTTCTTCAACATAATTTCGATTGTTGCCAAAGCTTGAAAAATCCACTATTTGATCATAGACTAGATCTCTTTCATCATTAACAAGCAAGTCGCATTCAGGTGCAAAGTCCATCTTTTCAAAATCAAACTCATAATCAGAGCCTTCGATCAAACAAGAGTACTTTTCTTTTTTGGCTTTCTTGAGCGATATTATCAAAATAACGCTCTTCTTTTTCTTTCACACTCCCTTCGCCTCAGAAGGAACAGCAGAGTGGGTTTTCACTATCCTCTGCACGCTTTGCATATAATGCTTATGGCATCCCTTCAAGTAACTTTGCCTTCATCAATTTACCTTTGAGTACCGCTACAATTGTCGCTATTATGATGATAATAATTGAAGACATGTAAAAAGCCTAAGCGTTGTGCAGCCGAGTAATCCATGACCATACCTAGGAATTGTTTTTTGCTGACCTTTATATGCTCAAACATTTTGATGAAATATTCAGCAAAAGTCTTGACTTCTAATCTCCCAATGATGGCTTGAAAAAACACAATACTTTTTTGCATTTCAGGTAAATAGACTACAGAAGAGCAAAGGTATTTCTTGTTACTAGCAACAGCCTTATAGGTAACATCAATGAAGATAGGCTGTGCTGCAAAAGGAAGGTTGTGTTACAGTAAATTGCAGGCTGAAAAAGATCTTGCCATCAGCAACTTGAGAATAAGTGATATGGCCTTCGTATTCTTTTTAAATTTTTGCTAAATCCCCCAAGAAATCAGAATTCTTACGAATGCCTAAAGAGGCTTTTGTAGCATTAAGCTGATATTTTGCTCTATCTTGATTTTTCAAAACAGAACTGGTTCCCTTCGCAAGCTGATCAAATTCTCCAGGATGGGATGCAACACCAATATTAAGCTTTTTGGGTTTAAGCAATTGATCATTTTCCACTTTTTCAATTAGAATATCATTCTTTACGGAAAGATGTAGTCTTCTAAAAACATCGTGTGAATCATAGCCCTTACACTGAAAAGTGCAGCTGGTTATATTCTTAAGGATATCAAACATGAAAAAAAATTGACTTTGACATGACAGGGCTTATGCTTTACAATTTTGTCGCAATGCATGCATTTCTGTACTTTAATAAACTTTGTGTTATGGATGGGCCTCGTATCTTTATTAGAAAAACAATTCTCGTTCTCGCAAAACGCAGATTCAAGACAATTCTTAGCACGAGTAACGCAACCTCTGATCACTTTCTTTGTGCCTTGGGTAAGAACCCAACGTTAAGATTACACTTTGAGAATGTCTTTTCTTCCCCATGACGAGGCTAGATATCAAAAGCCTCGGTGTGATTGCCTGCAGTAAATCGAGCCCTAAAGTAATTCTGTTTATGGTATTCACTGTCTGTCAACATGTTACAAATAGAAGTTTTAAGAAACACAGTACAACGAGACCAAAAAGTGTAGAATGTAATTTGTACCTTAGTGGCTTATTGAACCGTATTTAAAGTCCGAGTACGCCGGCTTATACGGCACCATTCTGAGTAGCAAAATTTCCTCCAATTCTGTTCCGTGTTTATTCCGTATTTTATCATTTAGTATCCATCGAGCATTGGTCATTGAAGCATGTTTCTCAAGAGAACATATTTATTGAGTTAGACTATAGATTTGTTTTATAGAACCCTATATAGTCTTTACTTGTATCTCTATCAAGACCTACACTTTCTGCCTAAATGACAAAGAAAAAGCAACCACAATGATAAAAATACTAGTTTTGTATTTAAGCTTGAAAGGATTCTTTGTTTCAAAAAGAAATGGTAAATAATTCAATCTTTTTAGTTTGGTCTACTCAGAATAAGTCATGAAGTTTCAAATCAAGAAAAAAAAAAGGAAAAGCAATCCGAAATGAACGCATTACCTGTATGTTTCTTTCTGTTTTTCTTTTTAAAAAATATAAAAGTTCTTTTTTTGTTCATTATTTAACCTTTTTTTATGATTTTTTTTTGAATGTAAAAGAAATTAATACAAGGATAATAATAAGAGTAATAATAAATAAATAGTCATAAGGGAAAGGGGAGGGGTGAAGTATAGAAAATAAATAGGTTTTAATCAAAAGGTGTTGTTTAAAAAAAAAGAAAAAAAGAAAAAAAAAGTAATTGTTTTTTTGGGCTGTTTGAAAAAAAAAAAAAAAAAAAAAAAAAAAAGGGGGGGGGGACAAGTTTAAAAAAAATGGAAAGTACGATAGAGAGGGGCACAATCAAAAAAAAAAAATCTAAGTGTAATTTCTCCAAGAAATGGGTCGTGTGGCAGACATAAAGTTATGCGTGCTTGAAGAATAGTAAGAAAGGTCCTGACAACGGTTCAAACTGTAAGCAAGTGGGTCCCATGAAGACTGAGATAAATTGGTTACAGCAGGGTAGTCATATGCACCATTGTTATTGTAGCCAACAGGTGGTTGCATAACGTACGGTAATTGGATCGGAATCTTTGGTTGTTGTGGTTGTGAAAAGTGCTGATAAGTTGGCTGATAATCAGTTAAACTATAGCGATAAAGGGGCTGAATGGGTGGTTGTGGGGGTGAGTATAATCCCAAGGTTTGCAATGTCATTAAAATCAATTGTTGACGTTGTTGGGGATTATCATAATACGACATCTGGGCTCGGTCTCTACATTCTTCTAATAAATGTCTCCAGTTGTCATATTCATGTTGACGGACAAATAAGTTGTAATCCAAGGCTTCAAGGAATTCTGCTTCCATAATGTTTAAATCATGTACTTTCATACCGCTCACATCAGACCATGTTTTGTTAGTGAATGTGTTGTCATCCAAGAACTTGTTGGCTATTATTCATCATCAGTATAATCACAACATAACAAAAAAAAAACTTACCCAACATGAGTGCAACAATAAACAAACGATATTCAGAACCTTCAGCACCTTCAATAGAAGGATTGGATTGTAAAAGAATAGCAATGTACTTGAGAGAAAGATATACAGCTGATTCTTTCAATTGTGTAGCCGTAAGTACCTATCAGAAGATAAAAAATGAGTCATTTGTTTAGAGAAGAAAAAGAAATGTACCTGATAACAAAACTTTTTGAATGCAGGACTTGCGGTATAAGAAAAGGAATGGTAATCACCCCCAAGAGGAGAATAAGGTGCTTTAGTCATGATAGGTTTTCTAGCTTGCCACATGAGAAAGGCCAAATCATTACCGACCAATGAAGGTGGTGGGGGTGGGGGTGTGTAAGAAGTCTTGGTTGTCTTTCTTGCATGCCACATTAAATAGACCATAGAGGAAGCAAACTCTGCAAGCTGAGAGGTTGACTGCACTCCAAAAGAACCATTGGCCATAGGTGTGTTGGGTGGTGTAAACAACTGTGTAGGAAGCATGCTGTTTATCCTATCTTTCTCTTTTCTTGTTTAAAAAAAAAGGAAAGATAAAGGTGTAGTAGTTCTTTTTTTTTTCTTTAACTTTCTACAGAAAGAAAAATAAAAAAAAAAGATATTTAAACGTAAAAAAAATAAAAAGAAAAACTAAAGTTGATTCTCTTTTTATTTAAATCTTGTTTAATGTGTGGTCTTTTTGTTTTGTAAAAAAAGGGGATAAGAAAAAAAAAGAAAAAGGCACCAAAAAGAGAAGAAAAAAAGTGCTGCACAGCCATTTATAAATGAAAAAAAAAATTTTCATTGTCACGTGATTGCCCTGAATCTTTGTTTATAAGCCATCCAATCAATAATATGACACAGGCACACGTATAAGAAATTCATAATGATGATGGTTGTATTTAGTGACGTAAAAATAGAAAGAATACATCATTATTGCCTCTGTCTCACTTTCGTGATAGAACGATAGCTATTTGATAAGGAGCATTTACTGTCTTCCCTCCTTAACTCTAATATGTGCGTGGGTTTCATGACATGAAACTGACTTTGATATGTATGATAAACAGCCTGTAATTATTGAATAATACTAGTAAACTGCTTCAGATGTATGACGTACAGTACTATTCTACTGAATGATATGCAAGGCATGCCTTTTCGAAAAAAAAATTCTTTGTGCATATACATACAAAAACGTGTAGCCATTTTATTTCGAGTGAAAATAATCATTTTTCGCATTAAATTTTAATATAAATTGTGGTACTACAATAAGGTATCAAGTAGGTACAGACGGAAAAGAATGCAATTCAGAGAATGAACTGTCTGGAGAACGATTCTTCCCATAACACCAGTCCTGTTTAAATCAATAAGAAAAAAAAAATGCCAATTGCTTTCCACTTGCCTTTTGTAAATCGGTCACTTCTAATTCCATTTTTTCGAAATCATTCTCTAACTGTTTAACAATGTCGTCCTTTACTTTTAATTCATATTTTAGTGTTTCGTTGTCTTCCTCTTTGTCTTTAAGTAATTGATATAGTTTTTCTCTGTCATTTATTAACACATCCATTCCTTCTCTTAATTGATTGTTTTCTTGTTCTAGTATTGTTGCTAAATTGCCAGCTGGTATATGTGACTTGACAATGGGTCTACAGGCATGTTTCTTGTTTTCTTCTTCCTCTTCTTCTTGATTTTGAACTGGTTTCTCTGTAAAGCAACAAGTGGATTCACAGTTGGATTTACCAGCCAGTTGTCGATAGAGTAAATTGATAACTTGAACTAAATATTCATATTCAGGACCCACATTTTTCATTTGCCGAATTTGATCCTGTTTGAAGCTATTGAGTTTTTCCTATCAATAAAGTCAATAACATACATATCAATGAACGAAAGGATTCCATTTGATTTACTTTACTGTTTGGGTTTTATATTCATCTTTTAATAATCGATTTGCCCGTTGTAACCGAATATTTTGCTCGGCAGACATTCTCAATGCCCTTTTGAGTTGTGATGTTCTTTCTTCTACAATTTGGTCACTTTCTAGTTTCAATATTCGATTGGCCCTTGCCAGCCGAGCATTGGATAAAGACAGTTGTTCTATTTGATAGTATAGTTGTTTAATCATTGTTTCTTTATCACCATTATAAATTTTTCTGGGTTGTTGTGGTTGAGATGAGTCGAACGATGAATATGAATCTCGAAGAGAATAACTGTCGTGAAATGAAGAATAGTCATCTTGAACAGATAAAGACATAGTATGGCTCATAAAAATAAAATAAAATAAGATAAAAAAAAAATGAATTACAAAAGAAAAAAGAAATATAAATAGAAGGGGAAAAAGAGGGGGAAAGAAAAGAAGAATAAAGACCCTTACTTTTTGTCGCATTTTTTATATCTATATATATGAGCCAGGTGGAGATGAAAAAAAAATATGTGTGTGCTACAGAAATTGACATGAAAAGCATTGCTTGCTTTCTTTACTTAAGCAGTTATAGAGTTTTCCTAGCTCCTCATGACATACAAGACCTGCAGATCCTTTAAATGAACTTCAAATAAGATTTTACCAAAACAAACGAAAAATAAACTTTATTGTTTCTCCTTGAAACTATTGAAGTCAACACTTACGAAAAAAAAAAAGATGCATCTCTCCATTGTTTCATGATCAAAGATTGTTCACACTCAACTCGTTTGACTATCCTAATTCTTTTTATTGTAAATTATTCTCTAAACTAATAGTGCTGCTTTGAACAATAAGTGGTTACATACAACCAAAAAGGGAGTATTAGTCTATAAAATGAAAGAATGATCTTTAAGTGGGACATATTGTATTGGAGTCATTATCATGACTTGTCTTACTGTACAAAAATTATTTTACTATATTATAAAAGTATTTATTACTGAATATTTCTAGTTTTGTTCATTGGCAATTTATGCTTATTTTTCCTTTAATTTTGTTTTTCACATTGTCCCTTTGATGCCGTCTTCTTTTTGCTGCATATATATCTCAACAAGCAGCATTTTAAATAATTTTTCCACTCCTATATTCTGCTACTTTTCTATGCGGTAGACTTGCTAAATGATTTATTTCGACATAAGCTACATTAGAGTAAGAGTTTAGCAAAGAGCAAAGTATATCGGACTTTCAACTAGACCTTACAAATCATGCTGTTACTCAGTAAGGAAAAAGAAAACAAATCCTTTATTGTCTACGTGATCACACTTTTCTATTCTTTTTTCTTTTCTTTTATCAAAAGCGTATCTTATGTCTATGAAAGAAAGTGTAAGAAAGGAAGGAGTTGTATGACAAATCCGCTAACGAATCTCTATATATAAAAAAAGATACCATCCTCTTCTTTACTGACTGTACTCTATGACAACAATAATAGCTGCCTTTCTATTCTCACAAAACTATTTATTAAAGAAGCAATTTATGCTCAAATCACCCGAGATGAAGCTTTGGTAATGTAAAAATGAGGAAAAAAAAAGTAAAATAACGAACATTTTTATCCGTAGAATGCTTGTAGATCCGTTTTGACATGTTTCGAGATATCAAAGGAGAAGAGAAGAATGGTTGAACAAAGGCTATTTGACTCACTTGTTGCTAATCAAGTGTTAATTCCCTCATCAAAAAATATATACTTGATCTATAATAATTATCCACAAGGTGTTTTAATTGATTTTACTCAGTGCTATTCTCCTTTATGTAAAACTTCGAGTCTTGGATGCTATTCACCTTCCTGCCCCAAGAAGTCTCAAACAAACTTTTGCGTTATATCAACTGAGCAAAGAATGAACATAGTAAGTTAAAAACGTGATCGATTCTATAACTCACACTAGCTTCAACAAGGACATCTGGACCTCAAAGATTCCTCGTTCTATACTTGAAAACCTACCTTCAAAAGAAAAGAAACGACAGCTAGCAATAGAAGAGCTACAGAGCTACGAATACAATTTCCTTAGACAACTTAATGTCATACGAGATGTGTTTGCACAACCATTGCTTTCATCATCTACAACGATAGAAGAATCTCGAAAATATGCATTTCATGATCTGTTGTTTGGCAACCATTATGTCTTGGCACGCCTTCACAAAAAAATCCTTCGAGATTTGGAGCTATCAAGAGACAGTTCAAACTATCACTTGTTTCCTGATTCAATCACTTTAGGAAACCTGCTGCTGAAGCGATTCTCAAAGCTGACAGAGCCATATGTAGAATATGTTTCAAATCATGTGTTTGCTAAACAACAGTACAATCTAGAATATAACAGAAATGAGACGTTTCAGCAATTTATAGAACAACAAGAAGGGATGGAGCGAGAGTTCCGTATTCCGTTAAAAGACTTGTTGATATCACCAATTGTTAGAATGCCCAAGTACGACTTACTTTTCACAACAATCCTTAAAAATTCTAAGGAAGAAGAACAAACATGTTTGATTCAGCTAATTGACCTAGCAAGAAACATCGTCCATACAATTAACGAGGCAACACGACAAGCAGAGGCCGAACAAAGACTAACGCAGATCAAAGTGGGGCTCCGAGTTCGGCGACCTAGTATCCGTCGTCATTCATCCCGAGTTCCACAGATTGTACCTGATGATGCCACGCTCTTGTTTGAAGGTCAAGTCGATCTGATCAAAGCGCCACCTATTCCGCCTGCTCAGTGCCAATTATTTTTGTTCTCCAATGCACTTGTTATCACTCATAAGCGGAATACGCCGGACGGAGAAGAAGAATATACACTTGTAGATAGGCCAATTCCATTACATATGCTACACATGGAAAAAGTATCACGCTTATCCTCTTTGCGTACTGTCTATCAGCAGGCAAGTATTTTGTCATCGATACGTCGACAGTTCAGTCATTCTGGATCTTATGGTAGTACACATAGTCGTCGCCGTCGTTTTCGTCGTCGTTGGAGTAGTAACAGACAAGCTGTGTCCGATGTAATAAGTGTTCCTTCAGATGATAGTTTATCTATCTCCTTGACTATACATACTATTTCTGGACTAAAGATTCGTCATCGCATCAAAACTATCCAGCAAAAGATCAAAAGAACGACAAGTAAGACAGTGCCCTTGCCTGAAAAGAGTGCTTCCTTCTCATTTAATGGAAACCAGACTACACCGCTCTTACAGAAATCAGCAACATATCCTTCACGCGCCAACTCTCCTCATATGATGAGATCAAGGCTTTTACAAATATCTCATATGGCTGATCCTAATTTACATTATGTCTTTGAATGTCCCTCTGTAGAAAATCGACTCTCATGGACAAGTAAGATTCGATCTGTATTACCAAACCCTAGTTATGAGCCATTTGCGCTCGAAGCTTTATGTGCTACATCAAATTATTCTAGCTTACATAGTGTCAATGGAAAATATGCTACTGGGTGTGGTACCATTTGGTGTTCATTGTCTTTTAGTAAGCCATATTTATTATGCTGATGAACCCTAACATAAAAAAAAATTAGTTACTCCAAATGGTCGTGGTGTCATTGCTTTAGGAACTCGATATGGAGTCTGGGTTGCAAGTGATGATGGATCAGAGCCATTTAAACAGATATTGCCTCATAATTGCCATCAATTAGAATTGTTCAATAGTCGTATTCTGATCGTAAGGGGAAATAGTCCTAATCGTGTCCTTGGTGGTATTTTAATAGACCATATATATCCATCTTCTTCTCCTCAACTATCTATATTTTCACCCCATATAGATCTATCAGTTCATTCTAAAAACTTTGAGATTATAGAAAAGTCTGGTGTCATTCACTTTGCAGTGGGCACTTTACGAGGAGATCCTATCTTGTGCTATTTACGCCGCCGACGTACAGGATCCTTTCGCCTTGGACTTTTGTTTTATCGAGCAGACAATACCTTTGCCACACCATGGTTCAAAAAATTCAAGGAATACAAACCTTTGTTTATTCAACCTTCAGAACTAAAAATCATACATGACTATGCTTTTATTTTATCAAGATCAGAAGGTGTTGAAAAAGTCGATTTGTCAAGCTGGGTCTTGAATTCCAATACAACAAGTGCTTTTCAACACATCAAGTATTCTCATCGAATTGATTTACCTTCTTCACATCAACTATCAAGCAATTATACAGTAGACGACCCTGCACTGATTACAGTTGGCTATGTATCTCTAAGCCAACCGAAAACAGGACTGATATGTAGTGGAAAATCTGCCTTCCCGGTAGCTGATGCCAACGCTGATTTATTACAACAAGAGATTGAGTTTGAATCAGAAGCCAAAACTGTTGCTGTTTGTTATCCATACCTTATTATTTTCTCGACCCATGTTATAGAAATAAGACACTTGGAGACTGTAAGTCATTCATAATAAGTACAATTACTAATTATGTATATAAATAGGCTGCACTTGTACAAGCTATTCCTGGCAAAAAGATTCGGTATTTATATACTTGTCAAAATAATCCGCGTTCGCCTGTGATCCATTTATCTATGCTTCATCCTGATCAAGACCAAACCAAAGTTCATTTGTTGTATCTCAAAGAGCCAATTGTATTTGACAAAGATGAATGAACATTTGCGTGTGTGAGTGAGGTGTTTATAGCGGACATTAAACACGGCGACCAAAAGAAGAAACGCATTTCATGTTTCTTTCTTTTTCCCTTCTTTATTATTGTTTTTTTTTTCTTTTTGCTCCTCATCTTATTTTTCTGTTCTCTTTTTTTCTTTGTTTTTTAAGCACTAGAATAGAAAAACAATGTTTCAAAATTCAGGTTCACAGTCAGGACCTGCAAAAGGTATTTAACGAGATGAGAAACCAGTTTTTTGTTTATTGTCCTAAATGATATCATTTAGGTATTCGTTTAAGCTTCTTGACACAGGCTGACCAAGCAAAGTTTGAGCAGCTCTTTGCTCAAAGTGCTGCTCCTTATGGTGGTAGCAAAATTCCTGGTAAACTAATCATTTTTTATTATTATTCCTATCGTTCATCCCTTTTTTTTTATAAATATATTAGCACAAACTGTAAGTGAGCTCCTAAGACGCTCTAACCTCGACAATAACTCGCTGGCAAAGATTTGGTATGTTTTTTTTGGTTGTAATTAATGAACGTGTGTTACTAAATTACGTCAGGGATCTTGCTTCTATTGCCAATGCACCTCATTTGACATTTCCCGAATTTGCAGTAGCCATGTTCTTGACTTCCAAGCAATTAACGGGTCAAGCATTACCTGCATCACTTCCACCGAACATACGAGAAGAAACTGAAATTGCCATGGCAACCATTGAATCGACCGAGACATCTCAACAGCTTGTCAACACCAATACACCACAATACATGAATCCTCCTATGATGGCAGGTATGCAGTCTACTGGCATGCAGCCTCAAGTGGCAGGTATACGACTTACAGGTATGCAACCTACAGGTATGCAGCCTCAAATGACAAGTATGCAGCCTCAAATGACAGGTATGCCTTCCCAATTACCTATAATGACAGGCATGCAAAGACCTACACCACCACCAATACCTCAATTACCAATGCAGACAGGCTACACAAGTCAATTTCAAGCACCAATGCAAACAGGTTTCCAGCCATCACAACCATCAACAAAACCTCGTTTGCAAAACTTGGATTTTGCAAAAAAGATGATGCCTAACCAAAATGGTGTCACGAACCTTTTGAATCCCAGTCTTGGCACCAAGGATTCAGAACGTATTTCTTGGAAGATTAGCCCTGAAGAAAAGCAACGATACCGTGAGATTTTTGATGCTTGGGATGGAACAGGCACTGGATTTATGTCTGGTGAAACAGCAAAAGATGTCTTAACACAATCACAACTGCCACCTGAGGATTTAATGAAGATCTGGAATTTAGCAGATCATGACAACAAGGGAAGTTTGGATCATGATGAATTTGCCATTGCCATGCATTTAGTTTATCGAAAGATGAATGGATTTGAGATTCCTTCTGTCTTGCCTCCTGAACTTCGTCCTCCTTCTAGCTTGCTTAAGAAATTTGTCATTGGTCGCCGTCCTCCACCTTCCACACCATCTTTCGGTAGTCCTCAGCATCAACCAAGTAGAGAAGAGACCGAAGATTATTCGCTTTACAACAGCAACCAACATGATTATGTCTCTAGTTCTCGTAGAAAGGGCCCTCAATCTTTTGTCAGTCGCTCTTATGCTAGTTATAACAATGATGATGACGAGGAGGATGTTCGAGTTTTGGAAGATCTTCGCCGTCAAATTTCGGAAACGAAACGTCAACTTGACCGTATGCCAAAAATCACTACTACATCTGCCTACAGTGCCAGCAATAAATACTCATTAGAAGAATTGAAAGAAAAAATTAGACGTGCTCATGAAGGCTTGCATTATGCTACTAAAAGCAACCCTTTATCCAGTAAATACTTTGAAAATAAGGAAACATTGCTTGGATTATTGGAAACACAGAAATCACTTCAAGATGAAATTCAATACTTGTGTAATCGTGATATTCCTGTTTTGGCACGACAATTGCGTGGCTCTGCTGCTGAATTAAGAGATGCTAAAGTACGCAACTCCCGAAAGACAGATAGTTCTCAAGATTTCATGGCATTTATTCAACCCACGGGTCCTGGTGGATCTATTACTGAAAGTGACCGTGTGCGTGCTAAAGCCAAGGCTATGATGGCTGCACGTAAGGCTGGTCAAACCGGATCAAGCTCAGACGCAAGCTTTGTTCTTCGTCGTGCAGAAGAAGAAAAAGAAGAAATGGATCGTAAAGCAGACAACGTTGAACGTGAAATGGAAAAGTCTCGTACAGCTTTATTGGATATGCGTGGTGATTTGAGATACTTAGAAGAAATGCCAGCTTCAAAAGACTTGCAAGACAAAAAACGATTTGAAAATGGACAAGAACTTGCTTATGAATTGCGTCGTTTTATTGAACAATTGGACAGCAAGATTTCAGAACCATCAAGCTATTCTCCTCATACATCGAGCAATTTTAGAAGCACTTCTTCTTTAGGTGGTTATCAAAGTCCCTCATATGTTGCTAGTCCTACTCTCTCTTCAGTAGCCGCAAGTCCAAAGCCCAAGCCTGCTCCTGCTCGTCCTCGTACAGCTGAAGAGATCAAGAAAGAGGTAAGTGTTATCCTCGGAAAATAAAGCGATTTACTAATGTAGATGTGCTAGGCTGAAAGACGTGTTCAAGAGCGCTTGGCTGCCATTCAAGCCAAGAGAAATCCTGGCAGTTCTCCTCGCTCTAGTGCATCTGCTACACCCGCTACACCTGTACACAATAAGCTCAATGAAGCTGAAAATGTTGATCAACGTAAGTCAAACAAGCATAGCATTGGTCTTTTCTCTAACAATCAATACATGACAGATGCTGAGCGTGAAGCACAAGAAATGCTGCGCGCTTCTGTAAGTCAACTTGAAGAAGCTGACCGAAAAAAGAGAGAAGTTGACCTCGAACGTCTTCGTGAAAGTGAAAATCTTGAACGTCAACGTTTAGAAGACTTGCAAAGGGAAGAAGAAAGAGCTCGCAAACAAAGAGAGGAAGAAGATGAAAAGAGACGAGAACAAGAGGATCGCGAGTTTGAAGAAAGAAAGCGTCTGAGATTGGCTAAAGAAGAGGCTGATCGACAAGCTCGTTTTGATGCTATTAGACGTCATGAAGAAGAAGAGGAGGCCAAGAAGGCTCAAAAGACAGAACACAAGCCCGAAGAAGTTCCTTCTACTGAACCTGCACCTTCTGTTTCATCTCCTGCACCACCTCCACCTCCACCTCCAGCGGTAACATCACCTGCTGTTCTATCCGAATCCCCTGCCCCTACTACTGATGTTTCTGCTGCAACTACAAGCAGCAATAATCCTTTTGCTAAACTTCAACAATCAAATGCAGTCTCTCCTGTTGGTTCCTCTCAGGCAGAGAAACCTAACGAACCAACCACTACCACCAACAAACGTATCAGCTATAATCCTTTTGCTACATTCTCTGCATTTTCTGCCACTAAAGGCAATGCTCTAGACGACAGTGACTCTGATGATGATGGTTGGGATGTTGGCCATGATGATTCAGAAGATGAGAATGAGTTCCCTGCTGCTGGCAGTGCCAAGAACTTGGCTGGTATGTTGTTTGATGCCATGAGCAAGCGTGGTGATAGCGATGTCTCCCGTCAAGTCTCTCCCAAACCTGATGCTGTAGAACCTGCTTCTTCAGATGTTCCTTCCCCACCACCACCACCTCCTGCTGTTGAACGTGGTATTCCTCCTCCTCCTCCCCCTCCAGCAGCTCCTGCCGTTGCTGCTGCTGCTGCTGCTCCAACATCCACTGATTTTACACCACCTACTGGTGGAAATATGAGAAATGCCTTATTGGGCCAAATTCAAGCAGGTACTAAACTCAAGAAGACAGAGACCAATGATCGTAGTGCGTCTGCTATTGCTGGTCATGTTATTGGCGATGCATCAGCACCTGTTCAAACAGCTTCACAAACACCAGTAGTTGCACCAGAGCCTGTTGCTGCCCCTCTTTCAAGTGGCGGTTTCTTAGCTGAATTACAAGCACGTACAGATGGTGCTAGTCCTCCTGTTGAGTCGGTCACTCCTGCTGCTGCTCCTGTCACGACTGAACATACTGAAACAACACATGATGAGTCTTTACCTGAGATTGGTAAGTTTTTAAATCGGACACAGTAGTAGTCATACGTACACCTATTTGTATAGAATATATTGCCTTATGGGATTATCCTGGATCTGGTGAAGATGACTTATCGTTTTCACAAGATGATATCATTCTTATTCGTGATAATAATGAGACTGAAGATTGGTGGTATGGCACACTCCAAAAGAACAACAAGAAGGGCTATTTCCCTAGAAATTATGTTCAATTAAAGCCTGAAGGTATGTTGCATATACTGAAGGGAAAAGTAAGACTTATACGTATACACTATAGCTGTCCCTGAATTAAATATCAAAGCAAAAGCACTTTATGATTTTGAAGGCCCAGAAGGTCAGGGTTGTTTAGACTTCAAGATGGGCGAAACAGTTATCATTCTTGTGAAAGAGAATGATGATTGGTGGAAAGCAAAATCAGAAGATGGTACTCGTGTTGGCCTAGTGCCAGCCAACTACCTTGAAGAACATGTTTAAGTTGATGTCCTCAATAAACAAAAAGCACTATCAAGTACACGAAAATGTTCTCTTTGATCATATTTTTTTAATGAACATGCGTTCAACGATGATAGCTTTTTTATATAGTAAATAATATAGGACTTGTTCATTGCTATTAATAAACTCATTTATGATAAAGTATGGTAGGATAAAAAGTGAAGTTTTATTTGTGGTTTTGTTTGATAAACAAAGGCATGTATCATGAAGACATTTGGAAGAGTCACTACCACAACCAAGTGTAAGCAGAAAATCCAGAAAATCCAGAAGTAGAGTCAGAACCAGAAGAATAGAACCATAGAAATATTGATTAAAAAAGCTTTCAAGCATATATAACTTACCAAAAGACCAAAGCCAACATGCAATAGTTTATTCAAGGTCAGATCAGATCATGTACTATTGGCTGAGCTGACAACTTCCTCTAAAGGCATTTCTCTTAATTGCTGCTGATCTGGCAAATCAATCCGTGGTCAAGAAGCTAACCTCAAAACAATATTTTGACTGAGAAGAAAAAGTATAAATACCTCGACATTTTATAGCAATTGGAAAAGATAATATTTCTTTTGGAAAATAAAAGCCTATACTAGTCCTAACGGACTTTCTCTGTGTTCTTACCTTTTCTCTTATTTTATATCTATTCTCTCTTGATCTCATAACAGTTGCTTTGTTCTATTTTAAATCAGACTCACAGGTCAACTACACCCTTCCTTTGCATAAATTTTAGCAAACTCGAATCAAGCAAGCGACAGCTGAAAATCATTTTTGAAAAGCAACTGCTGCAATTCGATATCCTTATTGAATGCTCTTGATGATCAATTTTTTGGCTAGGTTCACTCTTGCAGCAGAATAATTACGACAGCCATAGTAGCCATAGTAGCCATGGTAGCCATGGTAACCATGGTAACCATACACCACAGCGTGAGCAACTGCATTTTTCTTCCATCGCTTACGCTGTAGTGACAACTCTATAAAAAAGTAACTAGAGCGATAGAGAAAATTATAGAAAGACTTGTATACCTCAGGCCTTCGTTGTCAGTGTGATGGGCTTACCTAAAAAAAACATTTTCAAACATCATAAAAATATTGACAGTTATGCCGAAATTACAAGTATGCCATTTGCGTACTCAAAAAATATTTTTGAAAAACAATAAAAACCTCTATTTTAGAATTAAAACCACTATTGTAAAATAAATCAAAAATATTTTCTGCAATGACAAAAAATAAAAAAGTATATTTTCTGCTTAAAATTAGAAAAAAAACTTGTTTTTCAATTTTTCTGCTTTAAACAAATAAACGAGTCTACCGGATGATGGATTTACTGTTTTAGTTTAAAAGAAGAGATTAATGGTCGGTAGACTTGTTTTTTATTTTGAAACAGAAAAATTGAAAAACAAGCTTTTTTTCTAATTTTAAGCAGAAAATATACTTTTTTATTTTTTTGTCATTGCAGAAAATATTTTTGATTTATTTTACAATAGTGGTTTTAATTCTAAAATAGAGGTTTTTATTGTTTTTCAAAAAATATTTTTTTGAGTACGCAAATGGCATACTTGTAAGTCGGTATGAATGTTAACGGAGTTTGAAAATACATATGTATTTTCTTGCACTCATGAGAAGTTTCTAACATCTACGGCTATTACCGCAATCTTTTATGGCTCTACCTCTGCTTCCTGTAGACATATCAAAAATTATAGTGGTTCCTCAATTTTCCGTATTTTTGATCCGTGCTGGTGTTGATCATACACGTCTCACTATTGACGAGCCGTACAAATAGTCCCAATTCATGAGAAGGGCAACTCGACTGACCCAGTCAGCTACTGACTAATTAGTCTGACTACTATCTCCGGAAAAAAAATCGAAAAATGCATCAAAGAACTTCTCCAAGGCCAAGTATTGTCCTTAGACACTGCCCAAGGTGGCTTTAGAGAACGCAAAAGTGTCCTTGACCAAGCTCTTTGTCTTTCAGAAATTCGTAAGTTGTTTTTTTTCACAACAATACTCAAGAACATTAGCTCTGTACTTTATTGGAGTACCAGATGGATCTCTATACATTTTGCTTCTATCCAAAATCACCTCTATGTAACATGCTACCACAAACAATCTACTTCTTCCAACATCCAACCAAATGTTTCTATTTCTTCTCTGGTTACAAATTCACGCCCAGACACACCATTAGATCAACGCTCTTCTCTTCATTCCTTTTTTGCCCCTATTCTCTTAAGGTGTTTTTTTTTTAGCTTAGTAAAGCCATTCATTTTTATAAATTGATCGAGTCCGAACAGTCGAAGGCCACATTGGACCATGTGTTCAAAAGGATCTTTTCTACAAAATCAATAAACTAGCAAACTTTAAGTATGAGTTTCAAAAAATTAACAACAGTGTGCAAGTATGTTATTTGTGCCAACCGAAATACATTTCTGGAAGATAACTACTTTTAGATTTGAAAATATATATATATATATATATATATATATTCTCGTCACAGCGTAAGCGATTGTATTTTTCTTCGATATTTGAGTAAAGATTTAGCCAGAATCTTCCATTGCTTCTGCTGTAATGTCTTTAACTTTAAAGAAATTAAATATAAAAAGAAATTGTGATAAAAAACAATATAAAAATAAAAATGTTGTCAAAACAATAACATAAATCTACATGAAACTGTATAAATCTTGCATATATTGTCAAAGAAAGGGGGCACAAGAAACTAACAAAGAATTTTTTTCACAAGACTATTATGCTAAGGAGCAAATTAATTTCAAAAAGCCAAAACACATACAGTTCTTCTATTATTCTGCCCATCCATGGTCATCTATGGTCATCTATGGTCATCCATAGTCACTCATTATAACGCGTGTTCATCTATATCAACCCATACTCATCCATGATGTTCCTTGCTATTCTACCAATATCCAAATAAGAGCGAGAAAATTAAAACGAAACAAATAATTCAGTTCATTGAGTCATATCTTTAGATGATTGCTTGTATAAGGGTTCAGCATGCTCTGCAGAGATCCTTGTTCCATAAAGGAATCTTAGATAGTACAATTGGTTCAGATAAATCACTAGCTACTTCTGTACAAGGATCTGCATTAGATGAACCAGCCAATCTCTAAACAGCTCAGTGTGATTGACAGGTTGATGCATAAGATTTTCTGTTTAATTTGAGACATTTTAGGAATAAGACAATGACTACATAATTAGATGTAAGATTGTAGCTTTTGAGGTATATGTATCTTGACTATAGATAAAGCAAGCAATCAAATTAGAGCTGTGAACAGATGGCAATATGTAGTCATTTGTACCAGATTTAATGAGTTGTGACGCTTTCATGAGCAAACGTTCTCTTTCTTTTTTTTTAAGCATTATCTTCAAATCAGCATTCAAAGTCTGTTGTACATTGTGAAGGATGTAAAAGAGACCCTTTTCAGTTGACATCGATTAGCGAGCGAGTACTCATCCTAGTACCAAACGATGTGCATAACATTGAAAAGTAGGTCAGATTATAGCATTTGACACTTTTCAAGTCAAGAAAAAAAATACACACACAGTTTTAGATATAACCAATAATAAATGTTTGGTATTAGATACTCTCTGCTTTGAAGACTATTTCTTTTTCTTTTCTATCAAGGCTAAGTGAATGCAAATTGATTTCCTCATAATAGTTTTGTCGTGCCAGCACTAATCTGTACGATTTCAATCAAACATGTCAAAAACAACTTCATTTTCTATTGCCTTACACAAATCTTTTGAAGCAGAATATCCATTTGCATGCGCAAGACACTACTATTATAAGACAAGACAATGGTATGAAAGTATGGAGGACTTTACTTTTTTTATTTTATTTTATACATGTGTTTATTTCAAAAAAAAAAAATGGCGTCAGTCTTTAGTTTCACTTCATGGAGAAGTTACTCACAGGAGTAGCCACGAGAAGGCAACTGACTTGTACTCCCAGGCCCTCTTCACTGACTCATGTCAACCGCCTGCAGATTGATAGTGTTGCCAGATCCTTAGAAAAACCTCCCTCATCAATAGCAACGGTCACCATCATGCTTGACCGGCGGCAACGTCTATACACTCCCTTATCGCAAAGCCAGCACAGTCGATAAGAAAGCGCAATCATTGACTATAACAGACACACCAGAGCTGGTACATGCGCTGATATTGACGAAGGCGAGCACTTACCTCAAAGGGACCGGACCATGAAACGAGCAGCTGAAAGTAAAGAAAGAAAAAGAAAAGATTTAAAGAAAAGAAGTAAAAAGAAAAAGTGCTGCGAGACTTTATATATCCCCTGTTTTTTTTCTTTCTGTCTCTTTCTATTTGTTTCTTTTGATAAGGATCAGTTCATAAAGAGAAGAAAGAACGCCTGATTTTGTATTACATTAAAGCATAAAACATATGATCAACTCTTTACTTCTCAGCTCTTTAGACGCAAGAATAGTCCGTAGAACTATCGCCCATCTTTCCCTGAAAAATAAAGCTTTCTTTTTGTTTGCTACAGAGCTTATATCCATTACTTTCTCTTCCTCTTTCAGCCAAAAAGAAACATGAACTGGTTCTAGAAATTGTCTTCAAACTTTAGTTTAGTAAACAAGAATTGTATATATGACATAAACAAATGTTTTAACTAAGTTACACAAATAAAAGCAGATCACACACTTTGTTCCCTTAAGTCCAAAAGCTAGAATAAATGCTTGAAATAGAAATGAACAGCAACTTGTGTTTTTTTAAACAAGGTATTGAGATTTCTTCGACCAGTCATGCTGTACTGTCAAGAAGCATAAAGAACCATGTACTGCTGCATACCTGTGAGTAAATCAATTTTCCAGAGTTATGCGGAAAACTCTTCCATCCTCAATGAGGTAAAGTATTCAGCCTCTTTAATTAGCACAATACAAACAAACCCAGAAAAAGAAAAGAGGCCTTATTCGAAGAAAGCAATTGGCTAGCAAGACATATTCACATGGAAACGAAAAAAAAAAGTCTAGAGCAAGTTTTTTTTTTTTTTTTTTTTTTCAAGGCTCGAATAAGAAAAAGGTATACATACAACATTGAGTTCATGTAACTGATACTTTTAGTCTCTCTGTTCATCTCTCTTCAAATCAAGCAATACTAAGGCGTCTCTCCTCTACAAATCTAACGACTCA